AAAGGTATTTTAAACTTTAAAAATAAATATGTTTTTTCCTCTAAAAAAGAAATTTCAAAAATCAATATGGCTTTTTCCTCTAAAAAGGGAAAAAAAGGAGTTTCATTGTAATTCAAAAATGTTTTTATTGTGGCATTTATATGAAACATATCTACATTTATATATCCGTCCAAAATGGCGTAAGTGGTTGGAGACTTATATTTAAATACGGAGATTCTCCGTTATATAAGTTACAACCGGTTCACATAACCGCGATCTAAAGCAATGCCGAACGACTATTATGGTAAGGACCATACTCGCAAACATTGGATTTGTTGTAAGACAGCATTGTCACTGGACAGTGCGTCCTGTCTATTTAAACACTCCTAAATATCCTATCATATAAAATAGATTTAGATATAATCTATTGTGAGTAGTTTAATTGGGAAGAATTGTGTTGCTTATTTGAAGTACATGTACTGTTTAAGTCATTGTCCGATACCCATGGTTGAGAAGCTACACAACATGTAATCAATGTTAATGCTTCGGCCGTGGGTATCCAGAGATGCTTCCAGTACTGGTGACATGATTGTGAAGAAACATTGTCGTGACCGAAATCTCTGAGATTAGAAACTGACGGTTTTAGCACTGTTCTCATTAAAATTGTTTAACTTTTAACCTGCTGAGTTTATGAAATGCATTTGACCTGTTTTGAATTTCGAAACATTCCATTTAAACTTCATACAGAATTTAAATAAGTTCGACTGTGTTAGAAACTATAAACTTATAGACACACTCTCAAATACGATCGATCCTGGAACCAACCAGTCCTTGGCGATGAGTTTGACGTTTCTTTCTCAAGGTAACAACGGCTATCTCCTGACGGGATTTTAACACACCCGACCAGAAACATCATTATATTAGGTACTCGTATTTCATGTAAAATTTCAATTTATGTACAAAACTGAAAAAAACGATATTGAAATGGCCCGTGAATTATTCGACATCGGCCGTGTCCGGTTGCAGAATTTTGTTCTGAAAGCTGACAATATTAGTTTTCAGATGATACAATTCATTCAATCATCAGTGCGTTACTATAGTCAGTGACATTTGTTGCACAAGTAAAGAAAAAGCCATTTTTCGCACAAGCGTACATCGAAAAGAAGTAAAGATCATCCCGAGCCATGTGCATTCTTAACATAATGCTGTCTGAGGGCAAACGTATAGGGATTGTGTCGTATCTGAATAGTAAGTTAACGGTACAAGAAAGAACAGTGCATGGCACTATTTCAGGTGCAGCAATTTTGCAGACGACACATTTGTGTCATATGTGTTAAGTCATTTAAATGCTATGTGAGATCAAAATGTGAATGATACGTCTATTTCTGAAAGTTATGTTAATAAAAACAGAGTGAAACTTCAATAGTACACTTTCAGGAATTTGCAGACGACAATTTGAGTCATGTGTGTTACGCGAGTTTAAGTTATTCAGATGTAATTTTAGATCAAGATGTGAAAGATTCGTCTGTTTCTGCGAGATATGTGGGTAACAGCAGAATAAAAATTGAATAGTATAAATACAGGAATTTTTGCAGACGACACATTTGTGTCATATGTGTTTCGCGAGTTTATGCCGCGAGATTCTTTGGACAAGATGTGAATAAGTCAGTTGTTTCTGCAATATATGCATAATTACAAGGAATAACAATTAGCGGGGTTTAAATTCATTCATCATTTTCATCATCATATTATCATCCTCATCTTCCTATCATTTTTTATCATACTATCAACATCGCTATCATCATCATCATCATCATCATCATCATTTTAAGAGTATTTGTGGATATGTTGCGGATGTATACATATCATTAAATCGTCTTCCGCGTATCTTATTAGTTTTGGTACCCGGGCCCATGCGGGCCACTTATAAGCATAAAGTCTATCTTCGCTTGAATGGTCGCTTGAGGAAGCAAAACGTATTCTTACCATTAAATGAATTAAGTATTGCTGTACTAGATTGTTACAACAATATCAACAGTCAGGTTATAGCGCACGAAATCATTGTAAGAAATAATGGTAAAGTTTCGAAAATATTATACTTTCCTCAAGTTACAACAGTTCAGAAAGAAACAGGATTATCTCCCGTCGACCATTTTAATAGCATCGAACAATAAAAAGAGTTATTACGTCCCTTTAGGGCTTTGCTTTTTCGACAATAGCGTATTTACGTGTAGATATAAATTCTTGCTGTTATACTTTCTTTGAAATAATCAATAGATACGTTACGTCTATCGAAACGACAAAAAAATAACGTTTTATATGATTACAAGCATAATGCAATCAAGCCGGTTTTTTAAAAAACCAGGGTCTTTCAAATAGAATGGTCTGGAAACTCGTATGTAAACCCTTCTCGCTACAATTAAACATGTCTCGGTATAAATCCACCAAGAGTAGTTTATGTTGCACGAAATACTAGCTCTTGTTACGGGTTGATATTTTTGTAAAACACTTTTTCAAAAAAATCCTAAGTGTAGAGCGTTTTCATGGTTGGAAGCTTGATATTTAAGGAATCGTCGTTCACTTCGTCAGGGGGAAAAGTTCTCCCAGGCTTGATATAATTTTCTTTTTGTAACAGCTTAGATCATTGGAAGCCTAAATCAATCCTACACGGAATTACATTTTCTGTTTTTCGAAAAAATACAACTTAAATGAATAACGAGATAAAAATATAAACAACACTTACAATTATCCGTTTAACCGCTCTATCTCGGAAATGCCGTTCGCTCGTTGTACCGTACACCACAATTTTGAAGTGGAGCGACAGTTTGCCGGGCGTGAAATCGGTATAGTTTGCTATAAGCAAATTATGTAAGTGTTCAAGAAAAGGGCGAATATTAAATACAAGAGCAAAAATGAAAATTTTAACGACATGATGTTATTTAAAAATCTTTAAACTTTTGAAAAAAGGATAAATATTTCAGGAAATGATGTTTTTTAAAGCCATCTTTGTTAAAAAACATAGATTGTTTGTTCAGAATATTTGTCGATAATAATTGAAAATGCACCAAATTAAACATCAAATATTTGCAAATAACATCGTGAAATATTATAATATTTTAACATGATACGATTTAATTACCTTGACACCTGGAACGAAAAATTTCTTATTTCATTGGAAATCTTTAAAATTGTATATACGTTACTTTTAAAGTAAAAACTGATAATATAGTGTAGTCAGAGTTAGTTTTTAGTAATTTTTTGACTGATTTAACGAAACATTATCTTATAATTTGATTTTTGAATGGTGGTGTGCTATGCCATATATCACGGTCGGTAGATAACCCAGTCATGCAGTGACTCAACCGAGACAGCATTTTTCGTAAAATTGATCTGTTTCCAGACCATTCTATTTGAAAGACCCTGAAAAAAACTAACAAAATATCTTATTCTATATTTTCCGTGGAAGTAAAACATATTGTTGATTTTTGTTTAAAAAAATGTTTGAAGCAATTTGAAATGAGTAAACTTAAAATAATGGACTCTTTTGAATGGGCTAGATTGTTTTGCCAGTTTACCTGCAGGCTATATGGAAAACTCTCGAAATCATGAATTACGTACACAGAATTGGTTTTCCTAGTGTTAAAATTAGAAAATGCATAGCTTTAAAAATTGTGAAAGCTCGACGATGATTGGCTGTTTGAAAAATCACGAGAAGGTTACAATATATTGGTGATGGTCAGATCCTTATGTGTAGCGTTATTTAAGAGCTGTTTTAATCAGACTGGTCAGCATGTTGCCGTTTTTTTTTTTTTGGCCTTTCGCTATTTTATCAAAATCCCACATTATATCAATGGACAGAACTTAATACATTGGCCGCAGTGAAATGTCCATAATTATTTCCAAGTTACAAAATTCAATATGGTTATGGTTCATATATTATATTTAAAATTTTCAAGCACATTATGCCTCGATAGAAATAAAAGACATATGTTTTTAAAAAATGGTTTTAGAACTTGTTTGATTTTGATCACCTAAGTTAACGAAAGTAGCAGTAAATGTGATTTTATTTATTTGTTGTCATTCAAGTGAAAAATGTAAACAAAATACATATACATATAAATTACATCTTGTATACACGTGTTTGTTATATCATCACACTCCAACAAAACATGCAACTTCCATAAAGAAAATACCAAATTACTATTACTGTACAAACTGCCAATGGCCAAAAATCAACAGAAGCAAACGATGGTTCAGGTATATGACCAATAAGCACCTTATTGAAAACTAAAACATGTCACCTAAAAAAGAAAGAAAAAAGGAAATTGAAAAAAAAAACTTTCTGGGACATGAATGGCCTAATAAATACTAAAATCACTAATACTTATAATAAAAACATAGTGTAATAGAAACTCATTTAATATAGGATAAATTCAGGTTTTTGACTTTCAGCGGTGTGGGACGGTCTCCAATTTTAGACTTGGAGAAGTCAGAATATATATATATGCAATTTAAACCGTGTACACTGTCCAGATCCTTTAATGGGGGCATACTAAGGGGCCTTAGATCTACAACCGTCGATCGATAGAAATTTACGCAGAAGACCAATAATTGTTATGATAATTAATTAAAAAGAAAATTGGTTTCATTTAAAATGTTATGAATACAATTTTTTTATTAGGGTTTATAAAAGTCATCGAGAAAACATGCTCATAGAACAGGTCTTTTCACTTATCGGTACGAATCGAGCATGCATATTCGTGTTCGATTTTTAGTAGCCAATTTTCTGGAGATGGGGCAGAAGTTTACAATTAAAATTAAATTAAATTTTAAAATATTTTAAATTCTCAATTTAAAAATTTTTAAAAAACATATTCATACGCGACCAAGAAGTGCAGTTAAGTTTTATGACATTATGTTGAAATATATTCGAATTTAGTGTTTTGGTAAAAACTCCGCCGAGAAGTCGGAAACAATTTTTGGATAACAGGGCAAAAGGATTTTTGAAAAACTTTTGAATTACGAAAGAAGACCAAGAACCTGGACTTTACTTAATAGTTTGTGAATTTCATTTACGTAAGTTTATTTAAAAGGTTTGATGATGTTTCCTTTAGGTAGAACTAAAAGAAAGATTTAATTATGTCATTGCCTTTCTAATACAGGCGGTTAAACAGGAGGACATTGCCATTTAATAAAGTTCATGAACCTTTTATCTTTCAGTAATAGTTTATTGGAAGATGTCTATGATGCTGTCTCCTTTTAAATCGTATTTTGTTGAACTTATATTTTATAATTATTAGTTCATATCTATCTGCTGTTTTGGAGAGGAAGTCCGCTCTAAAATATTATGAATATGCATTATGATTGATCTACATCATACTGATTCAGAATTGTTCATGATTACACTAAGCAGGTATACATTGCAGAGCAACAGATATTAAAGCTTTGAAAGTGAATTGGGTATTGCTCCATCATTTCATGTGGAATTGAATAATGGGTATTGCCTCTATTGGCTCCATTTATGATTTAATTGGGTATTCTATTTCTAAAACCCGTTACCCATGATTTTAAGATCAATTGAATACGGGTATTCAATTATGAAAATATGAATTTCATAGTTTATTATGTGTTTTATTACTATTAGTGTTAAGCTATATGGCTTGAATGTGCCAGTTTTATGTCTATATTCCAAAATAGCGCACATAAATGGTCCAGAATATTTAATTTTAAACAACTTTGTTTTCTGGCGGATTTTTAATTATCACATTAACCCTGACGCAGGAGTGTAATAATTAAACTTGACTTGATGTCATTTGTGCTATATATAAACCTAGGGTTAAGGCGTGCTAATGTTAGCGTTACACTATAGGCGCGTCAATGAAAAATGTCTTGTTTAATTGTTAACCGTTCTCTTTTTGAATATGTGATAAATAGAATATTATATTTGTGTAGATTCAATATAGAATTTATTGAACAAGTTGAATAAAACAATATTATGGCTATGCTCGCCAGATGCTCGCATAAGTAATAGAAAGAGTATCGAAACACGAGGCTACCTGATTTGTACGAGGGGGCTATCAGATTGCCAAGTGTTTTGATGTTCTTCCTCTTTTGTATCATAGTCAAACATAAAAACACGTCCCCTTTTGTCACAATATGAAACCCCAGAAAAAAGTAACCAATGAACGAGCATCTGAATATGATATTTTTGTTGCTTTCCCTTTTTCTGCCATCACAATAAATAAACCCCAGCAAAAATGAGCCAATCAATGGGCATGCTCTTGAGTGCGGGTAACTAATACCTGCTCTCCAGTTAACGCACTGTGCATGTATATATATACGATTTAACTCTTACACATTTTCAACAAAAGGTCCCCAAACTATGATACAATATGATTTTATTCAACTTTTTTTAATAAATTAAGTATCAAACCTACACTCATTCAATATCCTCTATTTATTTAGAACTGTTACATGTATGTTTCAAATCTTCTTTCGGAGACTGTCAAATAGTAAGCTCTGAATTACCTTTGGGAATATTCTGATAGCATGCATATAAATCATTTATATAATATTGTCTGAAACTACGAGCGGACAACATGACGAAAATGACAATACACACGAATCTTTACACCAATTGTGTATCTTATTTTAATGGGTTTTGATATGCATATAAAATAAGACAATTGTGTATTTGGAAAATTAATTGTGTAAATATGCAAATATGCACCTTATCTGTTGCTCTGCATTGTATACATTGAATTGAATTTAGAGACAGCTATGAGATACAAGGGAATCCAGGAACCAGTCCCTAGCTCTTATTGAATAGATCCCTTGGTTCTTTTACATGCAAATTGTTTATCACTGATACATGAGATGATTACCTGGATTTCTTATCAGTGCACCTCTAGGTAGGTGGGAAACACTGACAGTGTCTCTGAAAAATCTCAAGGGTGTAACCCAGGATCAAACTTGGAACCTCAGGAGTGATAATCTTTGGTGTAACCAACTGAGCTATCTGCGCCACCTTTCGATTGCTGCAATGTCGTTGTTGTCATATGGAACCTTTAATGTACAGTACATGTAGCCTATTTCTCAAACAATTTTCTACTGAATAGTAAATGTTTCTCTTTTTATGGAATTTCAGGCATGCATGAACAATGAATGTAACAAGTTATATTCAGGAACGTCAATATGGGTTGTCCAGGAGGAAGAAGAGTTCACAGAGGAATATGGAAAAGTTCCTGGAAATGAAACTTTCGAAATCATTTGTTAATAAGGTACATGTACATTGAATATGTATGAAATAAGTTTAACTGTTTTAACATTTGTTGTAATGCAGCTTTCTTTTTGTATGATAATGTTTTGACTAGTGGTTGAAATATTTCTAATTTTCAAATTCTGTGGTACATTAAGTTTACTACATGTAATTCTGCAACAATTTGTCATATGATTCATACTATTGTGTGAAATCAGTGCATCATACTTGCTCCTTGAAAACATAATTGCAACCATAAAGTAGGTAAGGGTTTGTCAAATCCATATTAATTCAGTCAACTGTGTAAGTTCAGAGAAGTTGAATTTCATGTATACTGCCTAACAAACCTATACATTGTACATATATTATTATTAACAATGAAGGCAGCAACAGAGGTTGACTAGTGGTTAAAAAATCTGAGTCTTCAACCTTCGATCATGGGTTTAAAACCTGACTGGGTCATAACAATGTTCACTCATGTAATCTTTGATTAATCTATTACTCATTACTGATTTCCATCCTTACATAAATTATATTTATAATATATACCATGTATAAGCAAGGCAGCAACAATTATTCTAAAAGCCTAAAATCATGTTAACTGAAGGAATACTTTTTCATTAAAAAAACATAAATATTAATATAGGTTTAATTCAAAGTACAGTATATTTTTGATGATGCATGTAGTAGTTCGAAACACATGATTGTTTTTTTCCAGGCTGCTGAGATATCTGGGAAATGTAGGGCCACTTTTGTTATGCAGTTCAGTCCAGATGGGTATGTAAAGCCATCTTATTATATCTTGAAAATGATGAACTTTTATTGAATAAATCATTTGATTCATTTGAAAATTGATTAAGTTGCTATGTTTCTGGCAGTGATTTTTAGCTCGGCTATTTAAAGAATAGTGAGATCTATTATACAAACTCAATTAACAATCTGCCACCACACATTGTTTAAGTTTTTGTGTGCAAGAAAGCATCTCAAAAACTAATAAATGGAAAGAGTCTACTCTTCACACATTTATTTGAGAGTATAAAAGGAGGTAACTGGTTACTGTCAACTGTAATTTCAATGTGTGAATGCCAGAAATAAATTTGATAACATGCACAGGCTTTATTCCAGTCATACATGACAACTACATTGTCTTTGCTAAATTGATTATAAATATACAGTACTTCTGAAACTTGTTTAATGATAATTAGCAATTATTTTATCTCAGTGGCAAAGCCACAGGCACTGGCAATTTCTGAAAAGTAAAATCACTGAAAGAAGGATGGAAACTTTCAAGATTCTTAAAGTTTAAACGTAAGTTGATGTATGCAAGATATGTACTTAATTTACCTTGATTTATATTATATTAATTTATATGTAGGACAAAAGTTGCATCAACACATGGTGATCATTCTGTCAGGGTTACAGATATCGCAACAGGAAAGTGTCTCCACACATTACGAGGACATCCTCGAACCCCTTGGAGCCTCGCTTACCATCCCTCCTACAGTAATATTGTAGCCAGTGGATGTTTAGGTGGTCAGGTCAGGATTTGGGACCTTTATGTAAGTTTGTACTTTATTGATTAGTTCCATTCCACAACAGGTTTTGACAATAATTGTAATGAATAAACTAAATTTGTCTATTAAATGGTTATTGTAGGTGATATATTGCCTGTTTAATGGCGATACTGTCTGAGCCAAGCTTTCCATGCCAGTGTGGCTCGATGCTGTGTTTTTAGCTCACCTGTCACAAAGTGACAGGGTGAGCTTTTGTGATCGCTTTTCGTCCGGCATCCGTCCGGCGTCCGTCCATAAACTTTTGCTTTAAATGACATCTCCTCATAAACCACTGAGCCAATTTCATCCAAACTTCACAGGAATGTTCCTTTGGTGGTCACCTTTAAAAATTGTTCAAAGAATTTAATTCCATGCAGAACTCTGGTTGCCATGGCAACCGAAAGAAAAATCTTTAAATATCTTCTTTTAAACAACCCTAAGAGCTAGAGCTTAGATATTTGGCATGAACATCTTCTAGTGAGTGTCTACCAAGTTTGTTCAAATAAAAGCCCTGGGGTCAAAATTGGCCCCGCCCCAGGGGGTCATTGATTTTCCCTATATGCATATAGTAAAAACTTAAAAAATCTTCTTTTAAAGAACCCAAAGAGCTAGAGCTTAGATATTTGGCATGAAACATCTTCTAGTGAGTGTCTACCAAGTTTGTTCAAATAAAAGACATGGGGTCAAAATTGGCCACGCCCCGGGGGGTCATTGATTTTCCCTATATCATTACTATATGCATATAGTAAAAACTTAAAAAATCTTCTTTTAAAGAACCCAAAGAGCTAGAGCTAAGATATTAAGCATGAAACATCTTCTAGTGAGTGTCTACCAAGTTTGTTCAAATTAAAGCCCTGTGGTCAAAATTGGCCCCACCCCAGGGTGTCATTGATTTTCCCTATTTGCATATAATAAAAACTTAAAAAATCTTCTTTTAAAGAACCATAAGAGCTAGAGCTTAGATATTTGGCATGAAACATCTTCTAGTGAATGTCTACAAAGTTTGTTCAAATGAAAGCCCTGGGGTCAAAATTGACCCCGCCCCAGGGGGTCATTGATTTTCCCTATATGCATATTGTAAAAACTTAAAAAATCTTCTCTTAAAGAACCCAAAGAGCTAGAGCTTAAATATTTGGCATGAAACATCTTCTAGTGAGTGTCTACCAAGTTTGTTCAAATAAAAGACCTGGGGTCAAAATTGGCCCCGCCCCAGGGGGTCATTGATTTTCCCTATATGCAAAATTATAGTAAAAACTTAAAAAATCTTCTTTTAAAGAACCCAAAGAGCTAGAGCTAAGATATTTAGCATGAAACATCTTCTAGTGAGTGTCTACCAAGTTTGAACAAATAAAAGCCCTGGGGTCAAAATTGGCCCCGCCCCGGGGGTCATTGATTTTCCCTATATGCATATAGTAAAAACTTAAAAATCTTCTTTTAAAGAACCGTAAGAGCTAGAGCTAAGATATTAAGCATGAAACATCTTCTAGTGAATGTCTACAAAGTTTGTTCAAATAAAAGCCCTGGGGTCAAAGTTGGCCCCGCCCGAGGGGGTCATTGATTTTCCCTATATGCATATAGTAAAAACTTAAAAAATCTTCTTTTAAAGAACCCAAAGAGCTAGAGCTAAGATATTAAGCATGAAACATCAACTAGTGAGTGTCTACCAAGTTTGTTCAAATTAAAGCCCTGTGGTCAAAATTGGCCCCACCCCGGGGGGTCATTGATTTTCCCAATATGCATATAGTAAAAACTTAAAAAATCTTCTTTGAAAAAACCCAAATAGCTAGAGTTTAGATATAACGTATGAAACATCTTTATGTAATGTTCCTTTGGTGGTCACCTTTAAAAATTGTTCAAAGAATTTAATTCCATGCAGAACTCTGGTTGCCATGGCAACCGAAAGAAAAATCTTTAAATATCTTCTTTTAAACAACCCTAAGAGCTAGAGCTTAGATATTTGGCATGAAACATCTTCTAGTGAGTGTCTACCAAGTTTGTTCAAATAAAAGCCCTGGGGTCAAAACTGGCTCTGCCCCAGGGGTGTCATTGTTTTTAACTGTATGTGTATAGTAAAAACTTTAAAAATCTTCTTTTAAAAAACCCAATGAGCTAGAACTTAGATGTTTAGCATGAAATATCTTCTTATGGGTGTCTACCAAGTCTGTTCAAATAAACAAATAAAAGCCCTTGGGTAAAAATTGGCCCGGGGGTGGGGGGTGGCCTATTTCAGGTGAGCGACCTCAGGGCCATCATGGCCCTCTTGTTATGAACTTCACTCTTCCTTGTGAATTTATGTACACTTAGTTTGTGGTGAACAATTTACATATTGAACCACATTCTTGTCTGAAATAAAAAAAAAATCAGAAACTTCATGCCTTTTTATACTATTTTATGCTAATGACTATGAATATCTTGTCAAATTACATATATACAGTTTGTTAATACACTGACATGCACTCTGATATTTTTTTTTAAAAGAGCTTGATTCACTTATTATGAATTCTTTATGAGTGTTTATATTTATGAATTCTTTATGACAATTTATATCAAGTTACAATATATTAATTGAACTTAAAGATGATGATTAGGTCAAATCCTGAGTACTTTAGTTATCAAATAAACATTCCATGATTCCAAACAAACACTGTTCTTATTATCATTTAACAGGGTCATGGTTGTGAAGTATGGGACACAGAAAATAATTCAGTGGTCGCTGCACTGGCTTTTCATCCGACTGACCAGGTTCTTGTAATAGCTGCTGGTAACACTATCTACTTCTGGGACTGGACAAAACCGGAACCGTTTGCCAAGTGTAGTACAAGCCATGATTATGAAAGAATCAGGTATAATGATATACATATAAATTTATCGATACATGATATTATGTCAAAGCACTTTCTTTTATTTTTTTTATGCCCCCGCCATGTAATGGCCGGGGCATATAGTGTTACCCTTTTCCATTCTTCCGTCATTCCGTCATTCTGTCATTCCGTCATCATCAGTTTCCGTTCATTATCTTAGTAACGGTTGCACATATTCAACTCAAATTTGACATATGGATATGTCATGAGAAAATACAGGTCAAGTTTGAATTTGGTCATGGTTCGATGATTTTTGGCAGAGTTATGGCCCTTTTACTTTGAAAATATTATGAAATTTTCAGTTTCCGTTCATTATCTCCCCAACGGTAAAACACATTTAACTCAAATTTGACATATGGATATGTCATGAGAAAATACAGGTCAAGTTCGAATTTGGTCATGGTTCGATGATTTTTGGTAGAGTTATGCCCATTTTACTTTGAAAATAATACATGTATGAAATTTTCAGTTTCCGTTCATTATCTCCCCAATGGTACAACACATTCAACTCAAATTTGACATATGGATATGTCATAAGAAAATACAGGTCAAGTTCGAATTCTGTCATGGTTCGATGATTTTTGGCAGAGTTATGGCCCTTTTACTTTGAAAATAATATGAAATTTTCAGTTTCCGTTCATTATCTCCACAACGGTACAACACATTCAACTCAAATTTGCCATATGGATTTGTCATTAGAAAATACAGGCCAAGTTTGAATTTGGTCATGGTTCGATGATTTTTGGCAGAGTTATGCCCCTTTTACTTTGAAAATAATATGAAATTTTCAGTTTCCGTTCATTATCTCCTCAACGGTACAATATTTTCAACTCAAATTTGACATATGGATATGTCATGAGAAAATACAGGTAAAGTTTGAATTTGGTCATGGTTCGATGATTTTTGGCAGAGTTATGCTCCTTTTACTTTGAAAATAATATGAAATTTTCAGTTTCTGTTCATTATCTCCCCAACGGTACAACACATTCAACTCAAATTTGACATATGGATATGTTTTTGGAATGCCCAGGCCCAGTTCGAATTTGTTCATTGTTCAATGATTTTTGGCAGAGTAATGCCCCTTTCACTTTGAAATTAATATGAAATTTTCAGTTTCTGTTCATTATCTACCCAACAGTGTTACATATTCAACTCAAATTTGACATATGGATATGTCAAAGGAATGGGCAGGTCAAGTTGGAATTTGGTCATGGTTCGATGATTTTTTTTGGCAGAGTTATGTCCCTTTCACTTTGAATATAATATAGATACATCTTAGGAATAAGCAGTTTAAGTTTGAATTTGGTCGTGGTTCAATGATTTTGGACAAACTAATCTTTCTTGAATATTGGAAAAATTTTGAACTTTCAGTTTCAGCACTCATACTTTTGTGGAAATGTATGTAGCCATTATTTTGGCTTAGACTGAATAATTTCAGTGCCTTGAACATTGTATGGAAATGGTTTGTGTTAACATTGAAAAGTTTTAAGGGCTTTGAACTTAAAATGAAAACAATGATATGTGCAAACAAATTTGGAACTAAATATTATAACATCTGAAATTTCGGCTGCATGTGCGGGCATCCGTGGCATGATGACACATTTCTAGATTATTTTTGCAAAGTTGGGAGACTGAAATGTTTATGTCACTTCTTTGAATTTTGAATTCAGAAGTTACATTTTATAATATTACATATTATTTATAGAAAATTAATTTACTTAATTTCATAGTAAAACTAAAACTATTTCCTAATTGAAACATGAAAATACTTAAAAGGTAAGGGCAGTGTTGTATGCTAAATCAGGATTTTCATTATTAAGTTTTTGATTTATTTCAATGAGTCAGCAATTGTTCTACCATACTCTTTGCTGTAGATGTTAAGCCTGACAGGTTAGCCTGCTGAGTTCAATACAAAGAGCCTGGGATGGGTAATACAGGGACAGCTGGTATGATCCTTTGGCGAGGCAGAAATTTTCTGTGACAGTTGAACTCAGACATTGAGTCAAATGGTCATTTATCTCTCTATGTTGATTTAGAAATCATGTAAATTAGTAGTGGCTCATTTGCCGAGAAGTTGATTTCTTGTTTACCCGGAAATCTAGTCACTAGATATGACCAAAAACTTTTAAATCGGCATGTTGATAAAAATATATTTAGCCTACATTGTAATTCTGTCCACGAAAGTAAGTTATTATATGTATTATGTTACAGATGGATACATTTTGACAGTGTTGGACATACCCTTTATACAGGGATATCCAACAATACATCTGTACATAGAGACCAGTTGTCCAGTGTGTCTCACATGGGGTAAGTTCTATTTGTGATTTGGTTGAAGATATAAAAAATATCTTACCTTGGATACATGTATATAACCTAAACTGTTGACTTAAATTTCTGTCTTAAAATAAAACTGGAGAAATAGGTTCATATATTTTACTTTCTCAAAATAAAGTCAAGGTGTTTGAACTTTCAAATCACAAAATAGGTCTAATTGTACCTTTCAAGCTTTCAAAATAAATTAAAGACTCTCCGATTATTTTGCCACACATTCAAAACTTAGGAGATGTAGTAAATGTCATAATGAAGAAACACTATTCACACATTTGCTTTGGCAAGTGATCATGTTTAGTTGTTTCTCTTTTAATTAACTACATGTACCAGTATTAAAGTTTGACTTTATGCAGATAGCCAGATATGTGTTCAGAATCTGGACAAAATATGGCATCTTTGTATGGTTTGTGGGTTGGGTTTTACTTTCTAATACGTCACATTTCAGGGATTTTTTGGGTTTTTTTGGCTTATTTAATAACCAATATTTGGTCATAATCCCAATTGAAAATAGAATAAGATTTTCCCAATCCACATGAAAAAATTCCCAGTTGAAAGTTACGGAATAAAAATATTGAATAACAAATTATAAAATCTTTGAAACTAGGGCTTCTTCACTGTTATGGTGCTTGAATGTTTGAAGATGCCATCCTTGACAGTGATTCTTTGCATTCATTTAATCACTGCAAAATTTAGGTCATGTATTTTATCCCAATTTTTAACAAAACATTATTGAAATTCCCAATTCCATGGGTATGGGTCATGTTCCCAAAATCCTGGGGAAAAAATCTACATTTGCACTACCAAGGTCATACAGCTTCTTTCCAGTTCTGATGGTGGAGGAAGACCTCACATGCCTGTCCATGCATTTTTAAAATGCTTGTGATAAAGGATATCTTAGTGAGCTCTTACTCAGTACCTGTATGTAATTCCTACTTTTTGGGGCGTCCATGGCTGACTGGTTAAGGTCGTTGACTTCAAACCACTTGCCCCTCACTGTTGTGGGTTCTAATCCTGCCAGTGACTTTGGATTCTTTCATGTGAGGAAGCTATCCAGCTAGCATACAGAATGTCAGTGGTTCTACTCAGGTGCCCGTTCGTGCCTGAAATGATGCAGGGAAGGGCACCTGAGGTCTTCCTTCACCAGTAAAGCTTGAAAGTGGCTGTATGACCTATACTGTGTTGGTGTAACGTAAAACCCAATCAAACAAATAAATTCTACTTTAACTTCAGGGAGGAACGGCCCCCACCCACAAGTCAACCATCAAGATTAAGCTCCGTGTACAATAACATTGTAAACTACTACCAGGACTACAGACGAGATAGGCTTTTCACACAGTTAGGACCTGGTGATGGTATTGGGTTACCAATAGCAACAGGTATTGGAAGTATGGTGGACAGGAATGTTCCTACAGGACAAGGTATGCCACTTGATCATGTTAACTTTAAATGTTTTACGCTTTGTTCTGTTTCAGAAATTTTATCAATGAGTGACTTTGTATGTACTTGTATATGTCTCCTTACTTTTTAGCTCGACTATTCGCAGAATAATCGAGCTAATGCAGTCACCCATTTGTCGGCGTCAGCGTCCCTGTGGTTAAGTTTTTGTATGTAAGCTGGTATCTCCATAACTACTGAAGGGAATGGATTGAAACTTCACACACTTGTTCTCTGTGATTATCTAAGATGATTGGCACAAGTCCCATAACTCTGATTTGCTTTTTATACCCCCAAAAACGAAGTTTGGGGGGGTATATAGGAGTCACTCGGTGGTCGGTCGGTCGGTCGGTTGGTCGGTCGGGCGGTCGGTCGGTCGGTCGGTCGGTCCAGACGTCCGTTGCATTTTCCTTGTCCGGAGCATAACTTTAAGACTAATGCTTGGAATTCAATATAACTACACATAATGGTCAAGCACATTGAGAGGAAGTGCAGTGCACAAGAACCATAACTCTATCTTGATTAATTACAGAGTTATTGCCCTTTGTTACTTTTCCTTGTCCGGGGCATAACTTGAAAACTACTGGTTGGAATTCAAAACAACTTCACACAATTGTCAAACACAATAAGGGGAAGTGCAGTGCATAAGAACCATAACTCTATCTAAAGTAATTACAGAGTTATTGCCCTTTGTTGCTTTTCCATTGCTTTTTTTTTTGTCCGTTGCATTTACCTTGTCCGGAGCATAACTTGAAGACTAATGTTTGGAATTCAATATAACTACATACAATGGTCATGCACATTGAGAGGAAGTGCAGTGCACAAGAAACATAACTCTATCTTGACTAATTACAGAGTTATTGCCCTTTGTTACTTTTCCTTGTCCGGGGCATAACTTGAAAACTACTGGTTGGAATTTAAAACAATTTCACACAATTGTCAAACACAATAAGGGGAAGTGCAGTGCACAAGAACCATAACTCTATTTTAAGTAATTACAGAGTTATTGCCCTTTGTTACTTTTCCATTGCTTTTTTGTCCGGAGCATAACTTGAAGACTAATGGTTGGAATTCAATATAACTTCATACAATGGTCAAGCACATTGAGAGGAAGTGCAGTGCACAAGAACCATAACTCCATCTTGACTAATTACAGAGTTACTGCCCTTTGTTAATTTTCCTTGTCCGGGGCATGACTTGAAAACTACTGGTTGGAATTCAAAACAACTTCATACAATGGTCAACCACAATAAGGGGAAGTGCAGTGCACAAGAACCATAACTCCAGCTTGACTAATTACAGAGTTATTGCCCTTTGTTACTTTTCCATTGCTTTTTTGTCCGGAGCATAACTTGAAGACTAATGGTTGGAATTCAATATAACTTCATACAATGGTCAAGCACATTGAGAGGAAGTGCAGTGCACAAGAACCATAACTCCATCTTGACTAATTACAGAGTTATTGCCCTTTGTTACTTTTCCTTGTCCAGAGCATAACTTGAAAACTACTGTTTGGAATTCAGTACAACTTCATACAGTCGTGAAGGACATTAAAAGGAAGTACAGTGCACAAGAGCCATAACTCCATTTTGACAAAATACAGAGTTACTGCCCTTCGATACTTTTCCTTGTCCTGAGCATAACTTAAAACTTACTGGTTGGAATTCAAAACAACTTCATACAATGTTCAAGCACAAAAAGAGGAAGTGCAGTGCACAAGAACTATAACTCTATCTTCAGTTTTCATAGAGTTTTTGCCCTTTGTTCCTTTTCTTTGTCTTTCTGGACTTATTGCAGAGTAATTCAATTAAACTTCGTCAATGGCCAACCACATTGAAAGGAAATGCAACATACAAGAACCACAAATATCTTTAATTGCCAACAACCATAACTCTTTATTTCAATTCTTTTACAAGGTATTCTGTTACTAGTAACATCCTCATTTCCGAAGCAGTCATGTGGGGGTATTAATCACATTTAGTGATAGTTCTAGTTTTTATAATTATGCCCCTTTTTCGACTTAGAAATTCTTGGTTAAGTTTTTGTATGTAAGCTGGTATCTCCATAACTACTGAAGGGAATGGATTGAAACTTCACACACTTGTTCTCTGTGATTATCTAAGATGATTGGCACAAGTCCCATAACTCTGATTTGCTTTTTTTCATAATTATGCCCCTTTTTCGACTTAGAAATTCTTGGTTAAGTTTTTGTATGTAAGCTGTTATCTCCATAACTACTGAAGGGAATTGATTGAAACTTCACACACTTGTTCTCTGTGATTATCTAAGATGATTGGCACAAGTCCCATAACTCTGATTTGCTTTTTTACATAATTATGCCCCTTTTTCGACTTAGAAATTCTTGGTTAAGTTTTTGCATGTAAGCTGGTATCTCCATAACTACTGAAGGGAATGGATTGAAACTTCACACACTTGTTCTCTGTGATTATCTTAGATAATTGCCACAAGTCCCATAACTCTGATTTGCTTTTTTACATAATTATGCCCCTTTTTCGACTTAGAAATTCTTGGTTAAGTTTTTGCATGTAAGCTGGTATCTCCATAACTACTGAAGGGAATGGATTGAAACTTCACACACTTGTTCTCTGTGATTATCTAAGATGATTGGCACAAGTCCCATAACTCTGATTTGCTTTTTAACATAATTATGCCCCTTTTTCGACTTAGAAATTCTTGGTTAAGTTTTTGCATGTAAGCTGGTATCTCCATAACTACTGAAGGGAATGGATTGAAACTTCACACACTTGGTCTCTGTGATTATCTAAGATGATTGGCACAAGTCCCATAACTTTGATTTGCTTTTTTTGCATAATTATGCCCCTTTTTCGACTCATGAATTCTTGGTAAGTTTTTGCATGTAAGCTTGTCTCTCCATAACTACTGAAGGGAATGTATTGAAACTTGAAGAGTTTGTACCTTTTCGGACAATTTTATGTATTCATATAGGTAAGCATTATTATACTCAATGAAACACCCTTGTGACAAATTTTCGAATAGTCGAGCGTTACTGTCCTCCGACAGTTCTTGTTTACTAATGAGGGAACTTGAGATTTTGTTCCTAAGTCTTATGTACATATTTATTCAGAGAGGACTAATTAGTCAAATGGTTTATAACTATTTGTTTTAGGCAAATATTTTTTTTAGTCTTTCGTAAAAAAAAAGTACATAATAATTAATTTTAGAAAAAACCTTAAGTTTTTGAATTGAGTATGAAAGGTGATTTGAAAATTGCATTTTAGGTTTTGATGGTCTGCCTGACCTCCATAATGAGGGCTTAGTAAGACCTTTATCACCTGGTTCCCCACCTAGACCACCTCTACCAGGAACCGATGAGCCCGCGGTACTAGGACAGCCAGTTAGAGGTAGTGGGAATAATTTTGTGTCCTACGCCAGTCAAATTGCCCATGCATTAAGACCGGCTGGCTACCAACCAAGTCCTGAATTTGTAAGACGCCGAAGAAGATGGCAGGGCAGTGATTTTCCCAGAATAAGTGTACATGAAAGTTCTGGTAATCTACGTCCAAGCACGCAGTCTGTATTTGGCAGCTTGCCAGAATCAGAAAGAGAACTCCTGTTGAATCCAACATTTGATCCTTTCCTGTCCTCAATAAACCAAGATGCTGAAAACCCATCAGAAGGTAATTAGTTTTCCTGTGATTACAATTACAGTTTGATAAAAAAAAAAAATTGTATAAAATGAGCATTCATTAAGTAACTTTTGCAAAAATATCTTTGAATGTTTATTTATACTTACCACTTGTATAACAACCACTTAATCCAATATGGATAGCCTTACCCTTCCTGAAGAGTATTACCTATAATTAGTCTTGGAGAAATGTGTTAAAAAAAGACTTTCGCTGTTTGCAAAGTGACCAATGGTTCTTAATCGTAAGGAAAGTTAACCTTTTTGGAAGTTTATGTCAATAATCACTTTTTTATGCCACTTGTATAGAGACACACCTGTACTGTCTTACTTAGCTCTATGCAGTTGACTTTTGGTGTTTTTATGTTGAAAGAGTTAAACTCTAAAATCAATAATGGACAGTTTGAAATTTCTAAGGAAAGTCTGTTATACAAATATACAAATTCTGCAAGGTAAGGGCTAACCTTCGTGAATAAAGGTCTTTCATGTGACTTTGACGTATGTATGTGATGTATGTATAATCCAGAAGGCTTGGAACTGATATATAAATTGAAATATTAAGTTTTCTGTATCTGGAAGGGTAATATGCTATTACGGAAAAAAAAATTGTGTCTAGTATATACATATATTCAAAACTACTTACACTTACATACTAAACATATGGAGTTACGTCAATTTGCATCATATAAATTACGAGCGCAGTTGACATTTGGACTCTGGATTATTTTAAATGAATTACCTGGTGCCCTTTTTATGTCCATCCATTTCTATTTTCAGGCTTAAATCCACTCACCAGTAACACTGATAGGCAAAGAGTGGCAGCTTCAAGAAGAATAACTAATGAACCATCTTTGAGCAGGCATCTGTTACCAGCAATTGATATAACGGAGGAAGTAGAAATTCCACTTGAAGCTGTAACAGTCCAGTATATAAGGCCTCGGTCAAATTCTGGACATACAAATATAGTATCATCTGTGAGGGGAGAGTCAAATGATAGTACTGAAATAAATAGTGCTGTTAATGATGTAGACAGACCACTTATCAATAATTCCATTATCAATAACCAGAATAGATCATGTAACGAAACCTCGATAGCTAGGACTCAAAGTGATATATTAGTTTCAATGGCAGCCCCATCCACTACACTTTTGTCGCGATTTTTACAAAGACCGTCACAAAAACCAAGCGAAGCTACACCAACGTCGTCATCTATCACATCAACAGAAAGTAAAGTATTTCCTAGTATTAGAGAAAGACTGCAATTGTCAATACCACTGTCAACAGAGACAACATCTGCTAGTAGTAAAGGAAAGGTAACTCTAACACAGACCACGGGTATACCAAAAGTTACTGTAATTATGAGCAGCCATACAGATACAGGTACCCAGAGGTCTTGTCCCGGAACAAAACCATCATCGAACTTGTCCCTGTCTAGTTTGAATCAAACTGCTTTAAATATGTGTTCAATTTCTAACAATACTGCCAAAAATGTAACTCGGGCTCCATCACTGAGTGGCAACACTGGCTGTTTGAAAGTCAAGTCTGACCAAACAGGTGTTAATTCATGTACAACAACAACAACAACTACAGGTGCTAATCTTAGAGCATTATGTACTTCTGTTAATGATGATGCAAGTGCGTCTTTACCTAAATGTGGTAGTGCTGTACCTTCAAGTAGACAGGCAAACATTACGACTGTATCTAGCCAATTGGTTCCCCCAGTGGTAATCATTGTGCCAACCATTGTAGCTAGTACAAGCAGCCATTCTACTTTATTTGAAAATATATTCCACAACTCGAGCACTGTAACACAAACTGCTGGTGTAAATTCTGGTAATAGTTCATCAAGGGGACGTAATTACCTACCCTCGTTTCGTTCACAACCTTACAACTGGCAGAACAGAGGCAGATACCTATCTTTAATGGGGCCATACCTTCAGAGCAGAGGTATGAATCCCCCAGTGTCAGAAAGTTCTGCATATCATCCTGAAGAAGTTTCTACTATTGAATCTTTACCTATGAGATCTCAAAGCTCTGGTCGTGACTCAGCTACACTTCAGTGTGATCAAGCTTCTAGTGATACTGAAAATGAGCTTAGTTCTCATCTGCGTCAGTCTGGAGCTTATTTCTTACCAATACCAGAACACCAGCGTCGAGCAACATCATCCTCATCACAGAGGTCATCTGGAAGTCTAGATCGGAACACAGATTCTTCTTGTCTGAGACAGTTTAACGTTTCAGCAGGTTCGGTTGATAGTGCACAAGGTCATTTGTCAAATTCAGACAGTTCACAAGGTCGAAGGTCAGATAGTGCTCATAGTCAAAGGTCAAGGTCAGGTAGTGTACAAGGTCAGAGATCTAGGTCAAATTCCCAGGAGTATGAAGTCGAATTAGTGGTTGACCAAAATGAGAATTACACAACAAATAGAAATGTTCATCCAGATATTCCTCAAAGGGAGGAAATCGTTCACAGAAGTCAGGACAGCAATAACAATTCTATACATATATCCATGAATAATAATCAAGCATTGAGCTCTATTAGCCAAAGAGTTGATCAAAGGAATCACGATTATGTGCGATTAAGGGATAGCTTTGTGTCAATGACCGATCAGATCGAGCGAGAGATGAATGATTTAAACAGACGTATTAATGCATTACGTGATAGTTTTAGTGAAAGTATTAGATCGCTACGTCATGATAGACGTAGGTATGAAACCTTAGATGGTCACTTACCAGCGGAGACGGCTACTAATTTAGGACCTCATGATGAACATGAAGTTCGAGACCTTGCTGGAATAGGAGCAACTGATGCGCTGTCTCTACCTGGCGCTACTGGACTTGGTGCTGATTCAGACCATCTAAGTGGTAGGAAATTTTAAAGTATCAATCAATCTATTTTCCTCTTCTTTTGTGATCATTTTCAAGGTCTGTATGGCTGTTTCTCATGTTCTGTTCACTTATAAACTGTTCACTCCAAAAAGATCAGATTCATAGAAAGGTTATTAAGATATAAAAAATACAAGTCAAAATAAAAGGAAAGGTAATGAATTTTGCTAGATTATGTTCAGATTGTGTCAGTGTACTAATCTTGATAAAATAATGTTGAAGTTTTACAGATATTGTTATATTCACATGCATATTGTTAAGGATTATGAACCTTATTGAAATTGATGAATATCGATTACTGCTGAATTATGTCATAATAAACCCAAAGGCATTTTTGTCTTCTTTCTGCAGTCCCAGCTTTGGTTGATAATGTTCAAATATGTATATCTTAAGTTAAACATGGTTAAACTAAATGGTGTTTAAAAGGAGCTCCAATGCGGTAAAAAAAAGCCTAAAAACATGAAATTTTAAATGATTGTATCAAGTTATGTACTTAAATCAAAATCTACAAAATTATGATATCATAAAATTTATGAGTAGGGCCACCAGCTTTCTGTTAGCTAGCTCGATAGTTCCATCAAATAAAAAATTCTTAAGTCCCTGATGGGATTGGTACCCACAGCAATTATTGGGAAGTGATTTAAAGTTGGTTACCTTAACCATGTTGCCATGGAGATGCCACGTCTGAAAATATATAAGATACACAATGGCATGTGTCGTTATAAAAGTTTAGACATTTATAGTTACTATTTCAGCAGGTTCGGATATACCAGTATCTCAACCCCCTACTCTACTAGAAACCTCTCTCCGGTCACATACACAGGGGCGTAGGAGGCTGTATGCTGGCAATGTTTCAGAGAGGTAAATATTTATTATTTTTGCATTATCATAGAGTACATAATTTATATTCACAGAAAAGATGTATTCAGTATATGCAGTCATTTTGTATTTTGATGTTAGTGCTCTTCAAAGCCGAAGCTGGACAAAAGTTAATAATCCTTTTGCCTTGTGGCAGCAACTAAATCTATCCATGTGACCAGTGCAGACCAAGATCAGCCATCCAATCTGTGCTGTTTGATCATGGTCTGCACTGTTTGTTCATTCAGTACAAATTCAGTTTCAAATTTTCCCTAAAAATGATGAATGGTTTGTCCAGTTTGAAGTATGGACAAGTCCATTTAAGAAATTTGGTGTGTTGAGGGTTAACTATAAACTTGTTCAAGTCTTCAAACAAGACATTTTCAAAGAAGTTTGTTTTTGATAAAAAAGTACTTTTCATGGATAATTTGTTATGACAAATACATAATGTCATTTATTGGTTTATCAGTCTTACTTATTTAATTAACCAATTTTAAAAATAAAGCAGTGGTGCATACATTCAATTTATTATTGCATTTTTCATGTAATATGTTTTTTAGCGAAGACGAGGCACCAAGTGATACCCATAATTGGCGAACATTACAGCGACACTACCTTCACCCACATTATTCCTCGAGTATTCTCGACGACACAATAAACCGACCAAATAATGTGATACAGTCGGCAATTAACCGAGCCATTGCTGGTAGGATCTTTGTTGTTGTTCGCTTTGTGAACAATTTGTTCCAAAAAGTTATTCATTGGCCAATTACTTGAATGGTATTTTGCTTCTGTTGTCTTTAAGCAATTAGTAGAGAGAGTGATTTAGTATTTTGTATGAAAATCAAATAACTATCTTGTTTACATTTTGCTACTTTTATGACAAATAATTTTATATTCAGTGCTACTTTCTATATGTAAGCCCCTAACATGCTCTAACATTATAAAACTCATATTTGCCATTTCTAAAACTGGAAAATTTTGTTTATTCTAAGGCAATTTTCTTTAGTTTAATTTTACAATGGGCTATTCATTTTGCAATAATTGTAAGCCATGTTCTTTTTAGCTTACCTGTCACAAAGTGACAGGGTGAGCTTTTGTGATTGTTTTTCGTCCGGCGTCCGGCCGGCGTCCATAAACTTTTACTTTAAATGACATCTCATAAACCGCTGAGCCAATTTCATCCAAACTTCACAGGAATGTTCCTTTGGTGGTCACCTTTAAAAATTGAAATTTAATTCCATACAGAAATCTGGTTGCCATGGCAACCGATAGAAATAACTTAAAATATCTTCTTTTAAAAAACCCAAAGAGGTAGAGCTTAGATATTTGGCATGAAACATCTTCTAGTGAATGCCTATCAAGTTTGTTCAAATAAAAGCCCTGGGGTCAAAATTGGCCCTGCCCCGGGGGTCATTGATTTTCCCTATATGCATATAGTAAAAACTTAAAAAATCTTCTTTTAAAGGACCCAAAGAGCTAGAGCTAAGATATTTAGCATGAAACATCTTCTAATGGGTGTCTACCAAGTTTGTTCAAATAAAAGCCCTGGGGTCAAAATTGGCCCGACCCCAGGGGGTCATTGATTTTCCCTATATGCACATAGTAAAAACTTATAAAATCTTCTTTTAAATAACCCAAAGAGCTAGAGCTAAGATATTCAGCATGAAACATCTTCTAATGAGTGTCTATCACTTTTGTTCAAATAAAAGCCCTGGGGTCAAAATTGGCCCCGCCCCAAGGGGTCATTGATTTTCCCTATATGCATATAGTAAAAACTTATAAAATCTTCTTTTAAAGAACCCAAAGGGCTAGAGCTAAGATATTTAGCATGAAACATGTTCTAATGGGTGTCTATTAAATTTGTTAAAATAAGAGCCCTGGGGTCAAAATTGGCCCTGCCCTGGGGGTCATTGATTTTCCTTATATGTGTAAAGCAAAAACTTTAAAAAAAAATCTTCTTTTGAAAAACCCAAAGAGGTAGAGCTTAGATATTTGGCATGAAACATCTTCTAGTGAGTGTCTATCAAGTTTGTTCAAATAAAACCCTGGGGTCAAAATTGGCCCGCCCCGGTGGGTCATTGATTTTCCTTATATATGTAAAGCAAAAACTTAAAAAATCTTCTTTGAAAAATCCCAAATAGCTAGAGTTAAGATATTAAGCATGAAACATCTTCCAGTTAGTGTCTTCAAAGTTTGTTCAAATAAAAGCCCTAGGGTCAAAATTTGCCCTGCCCCGAGGGACATTGATTTTCCTTATATGTGTATAACAAAAACTTAAAAATCTTCTTTGAAAAAACCCAAATAGCTAGAGTTTAGATATTAAGCATGAAACATCTTCTAGTGAGTGTCTTCAAAGTTTGTTCAAATAAAAGCCCTGGGGTCAAAACTTGCGCCGCCCTAGGGGTGTCATTGCTTTTAACTATATGAGTATAGTTAAAACTTAAAAAATCTTTTTTTTTTAAAAACTCAATGAGCTAGACCTTAGATGTTTAGCATAAAACATCTTCTAATGGGTGTCTACCAAGTTTGTTCAAATAAAAGTCCTGGGGTTTAAACTGGCCCTGCTCTGGGGGCCTATATACAGGTGAGCGACTTCAGGGCCATCATGGCCCTCTTGTTTCAATTACTTCATTTAATTGCATGGATCTAAGTTTTCATCCAATTGCCTGAAGTTCAGGATTGTTTTTGCATTCCTACAAGCATTATTTCTATATAAAATCAATGAAATTAATGTACAATTCAGGATTTTTAGGTTTTCTGACATTCTGAACTATGTAAGAGTTTATACAAAAATGTATATTGATTGTAGACCTTAATGTTTATGACTTATTTTGTAGGTGCATTTATGGGAACTGGAGAATCTGCAGTTGCCAACAATATCATCAGTCAAACACACAGAATACAGTACTGGGATTTTTCGAAGTGCATCATTCCTGATATAAGTCAAAGTAAGTATAATCATTTATGTCAGGTGAAATTAAGCAGGAGAAAAAGTTACTTCTTTTTAAATAAAATCACAAAAATACACTAAATATCATTTAATATTTTATCAATTTTAATGTGGGTTTTTGTGAAGCGTGTTTGTAGTGCTTCAAACAGTTTCATCAATATGTTTGTAATGTAAATGTGTGGCCATTTGTTTGAATTTACCTAGTGTGAAGAGTTATTTAATTTAGTTTTAACAATATTTATTTTAGCTGAATTGTTAAGAAAATTTATAGATTATTTTAACCACACTTTAATATGCTTCTAGAAACTAACATAGGGTTTGAACCCACATCTCATTGGTTGAAAGGTAGGTACCTCTACCACCTGGCCACCACTGTTCCCCTTAATTCAATTTTAAATTTTTCCTTCAAATAATAAATGAATTTGCATGTATGATGAATGACTTTGTATGTATTGATTGATTTTATTTCAGGTAAAATAAACATTGTTGTTCCACACTGTAAGCTACACAATAGTGCCAGTGCTAACATCTCTCAAGATAACACATTGTTAGCAACCTTTGTCCCCAACCATCATGGTTTCCCTGACAACAACATTCTAGCAGTGTACTCTCTGTTACCTGGAACGAGGGGACAGTGCCTTTATACCAAACAGTTTGGTAAGTTGACTTTTCTTTACCAATATTTGGATTACTTTGTTGTTTATTGATGGTAACCATGGCAACAGTATCCTAGCAGTATATGTGGGAGGTGGAGAGTTCAGTCCCTTGCTGGGTTGAACCACATTCTAATATAATAGAGATATAATTGGTACCCTGATTTTTCTGTGGCCAAAGTTTTTATGCTTGAAAGGTTTTGTGTCAACTTATTTTGTGACCTTTACCTTAATACCAAGCATGGTTTCTGTGACAAAATTTTCTGGTGCTTTTTATTTAAATGCAAGAGATTTTTCTGATAAATACAGGATGGCAAAAGCCCAAGTGGGAAGGATATTCAAACATTCAAATGGCAAAAAGGGACTTGCGTATAAAAATAGATAACATGTACACAATAAATGAATATCATATTTGAATCTATTTTTTGCTATATATACAATGAACTTTGTTATTTTCCTGTCTCCTGATTCACAGTAAACTCCGCTTACAACGATATTCAAGGAACTGCCAAGTTTATATTCTTAAAAGTTATATCTGGATATCATTATATCTTAGAGGCTCCCAATTTGAGAACGGAAGTCGGGACCACAGCAGCATTATTATTATAAGTGGTGCCATTGTAAGTGAAGTTTACTGTTTAATAACTCGAGGAAACAGTATGCTACTTATTTGTATATCTGTTGAGGAAATTTTGTGGTTTTTTTTCACAGGTCCAAATGCGGTGTCTGTGAGTATATCACCCAGCAATAGCTATATCCTGGTATGTCTGGCAGCTAGACGTCTCTCGTGGGTCTTCACAAACCAACAGGTAATATGTTTATCCATCTATTTTAACCCTTACCCTTGCTGGAATTAAATGTATCTAGCCTTTGCCAACAGTATAGAGCCAGGTCAGCCTGCACATCCATACAGTCTGACCAGGCTCTATACTGTTGGTAGCTCAACTTTTGTATTTTGATATTGAAATCCCTTAATTCTTATGAACTGGTCCAAATTTGTAGACAGGTAAATATGGTTAAAGGGTTAAGCACATGTAATAAATGGGTTTTCTTAGAAAAAAAATCTTAAAATGTTCAAATAAAGGATAAATCTAGCATATTAGATATTAGATACCATATCTTAAATGCTAACTCTCAAGGCAGGGAAAAATCCTGAATCTTATCTCAACAAATCTGGTTCATGGAAGGGCAAGAATAATACATGCCATAGATAACTAAAATGATCCTCTGCTCTTTTTCAGCTGGTTGCTCATATATACAAACTTGAAAAGAAGCAAGCTGGAGAAAAATCTATGAAGGTCTGAAAATAAGATTTACATTCTGTAATTATGTACCATTATTAAGGATGGATATTTTCAAGGCAAACAAATGTTGTAAAGTTTTTCAATTATAAGATTATACAAATGTTTTTAATTGTGACGTCTTGAAATATATTTGGACTAAGAAATCAAATATATTTTAATATTTTATATTTTTATATAGATTGCTATTTAAATAACTGGTTAGTAACATTAAAGTGGGAAACTTCCCTTATCCAAATAATAATGAGTAAAAGTTATTTTAATTTACCTTAGCTTCTTTAAAGGAACTTCACTGAGTTTTTTGACAAGATGGGACTGTAAAATTATTGCGATTTGTATACCATGTCTTCATTATTTGTGTCATATTTTTACGGTTTAAGTGTCCCAGTTGTTCTATGTATGATTTTCAATTTTCATGTTTTTAGGCTTTTAGACCTTAGTGGAGTTCCTTTAATAAGCATTTTACAATTTATTATAGATAACTGGAAAATTAGCATGCATTTATAATGCAAATAACATCACGTTGAAAAGTTATTACACTAGTGTATTATCCTTTGAATCACATGGCTTTATTACACTACTGGGTCATGGTTTATGTGTTAAACAGTGTTAACTTTTTGCACCATTATTTTGCTATATGTTTTTAAGTTTTTTTATGTTATTTTGACAGCATGTTAAGGATGTAGATCATCTGTGTAGTTCAGAGGTTCGTACACACGTCAGTGGCAACTCGGCAAGCTGGCTACCACTGCCTGGCCAGGGACTGGTATACGGTACAAACAGAGGTGATCTCCATATTTGTAGACCAGGGTATGTCCACTAACAATACTGCACTTTTGTAAAGTCACTTTTCATTGGATAATCTTGATGTGTGTATAAATGGCTGCGGTCAATTTAGAAAGTAATTTCTTTCCTTTTTAGCTCGACCATTCAATAAGAATAAGTGGAGCTATCCTAGTCACCCGAGTGTTGGCGTAACCACTTATGTTAAAGTTTTTGCAACACCTCAAATATTTTCAAAGTCCACTGACATATGGCTTTAAAACTCTGCAAACTTGTTCACCATCATGACCCAACCTGTAGACAGGAGGAGGTAACTCTATCATGCATTTTGACAGAATTTATGCCCCTTTTTCGACTTAGAATTTACATTAAATTTTTGTAACACCAGGGATATTTCAAAGTTCATTGACATATGGCTTTGAAACTTTGCACACTTGTTCTCCATCATGACCCCAACCTGAAGACAGGAAAAGGTAACTCTATCTAGCATTTTGACAGAATTATGCCCCTATTTCGACTTAGAATTTACGTAAAAGATTGTGAACCACCTCAAACATTTACAAAGTCCATTGACATATGGCTTTGAAACTTTGCACACTTGTTCACCATCATGACCCCAACCTGTAGACAGGAGGAAGTAACTCTATCAAGCATTTGGACAGAATTATGCCTCTTTTTGGACTTAGAATTTACGTAAAAGATTGTGTACCACCTCAAACATTTACAAAGTCCATTGACATATGGCTTTGAAACTTTGCACACTTGTTCACCATCATGACCCCAACCTGTAGACAGGAGGAAGTAACTCTATCTAGCATTTTGACAGAATTATGCCCCTATTTCGACTTAGAATTTACGTAAAAGATTGTGAACCACCTCAAACATTTACAAAGTCCATTGACATATGGCTTTGAAACTTTGCACACTTGCCCACCATCATGCTTGGGTGACTAGGAGAGCTTTACTTATTCTAGAATTTAAATTATTTATTTTCATACCACAGGATGATAGTAAAATATGTATGTACAGTGGAGCCTTGCTAATCCGAACCCTTCTAATCCGGAATCCTTTCTAATCCGAACGAAGTGTCCGGTCCCGATTTTATCCGTTCTATTTTTAATAGTAAAAAAACTTTCGGATCCGGAACCTGTCTACTCCGAATTCCGGACGATTTTTTCAATTTTTGTTCTTATTTTACTCTAAAATTTACCTCTCGGATCCGAACAGATTTTGCCAAATGTCACACCTTTATTCAAAATAACAAATTATCGCACATCTTGCAGGTGTAAACATACACCAAACTGATAAGTGTTATTTCGCTTGATTAATGGGTGAAACGTATGATCTGCGAAGGTGTGAAAATTACACTTAGCTTACCTTGATATCTTCTATAATTGCTTAATTGATTGTTTTTCGTCAGCTTCTATAAATATTTTGATATAATGCAATAGAAATATCTTTTAATCCTTTGTATTGGATTCAATGATACGTGATTTAGTAATGAAAATTAATGTAAACTGTCAGTAAATTCGGATAGTCGCTGAATCGGATAAGAGTAAACAACAACTGACAAATGCTGGTACGAATATCTAATCATGTCTCGGCCTCCTGTTTAACATCGTAGGTTAACTTACCCTAGAGGACATAATATTGTTGCTTATTTATTTATTTTTGTTTCTTTATTTTTATATTCAGATGTATTAAAATGAACGATAAGAGACTGCAAAAATAACATATCTAAATTGCAATTTCAAATATATTCCCGTTTTCTTTCCTTAAACTATTTTGCAAATAACATGAAAAAAACACGTAAAAAACCTTCTAATTCGCAAACCTTTCTAATCCGGAAACCTTTCTAATCCGAACTTTTCTTCTGGTCCGGACGAGTTCGGATTAGACAGGTTCCACTGTATAAAAAAACTTGAATATTCTCTAAATCTTTTCTGTAAGCTTGAGAAAGTTAAGCACTTTTCTGCAATTTTTGATGCCAAAGATTTTGTTGGTGGTAATTTCCTTCTGAATTATCTTCTTTTTTTCATTTTCAGTGTGAAAATAGTATCTGGCAAGGCAATCATAGAAGGTTCTGAGGCCAGTCTTGATGAGTCAGGAAATGAAAGTAATTTCCAGAGATTGTTTGGACAGGTGCCCTGGAGATTGTATTCTAGTCCAAACAGAGTTAGCACATCTACACAGACCGCAGGTGTTAGACGATCAGCTGGTACCCAAACACCTCAGGACACTTAATTATAAGGCAGAACTTGAGCCAGGAACTGGGAACTAAGATTTCATTAGTGATCTGGCCCCGGTTTTGAATGTTCTGAAACTGGGGAAAATCTCAATCTCAGTTACTGAGTTAAGAAAAGTCTCAGATTTGATCTGAGATATTTGTCTTTGAGAACTTTATTAAAAGCTGGGCCTGGGATAGCCTTGTACCTTGAAAGATCATATATTATTCGTAATAAAGTCTCATAGATATCAATTGATGAGGTATAATGTTATAGTTGTATAATTCAGTGGAACTAATTGGTGATTATTGATGAAAATAATGTTGATGATGATATATATACATGTGGAAATAATCTTTATGATGAAATGCTATTTAAATGATGAAACTGTTGTGATTTTTTTTTCTTTCTACTAAATCAGAACATTTTGAAGTTTTCACAGTTTCAACATAAGAGGTGCTTTTGTATTTGATAGATGTTTTAATTGCACTTAACCATAGTTGATGATTCCTTCCTTAAACTTGCTTCTCTGAATACTTATTTCATAATTAAATTTCAACCATTTTTGTTTCAATTTTTTTATTTTATAATTAAATTTCAACCATTTTTGTTTCAATTTTTTTATTTTATAATTAAATTTCAACCATTTTTGTTTCAATTTTTATGCCCCCACAGAGTGGGAGCATATAGCGTTGCACTTGTCCGTCCGAGTGTCCGTACGTCTGTCCGTCCGTCTGTCCGTACGTCACGAAATCTTGTGAACGCAACTCCTCTTAAACCGGATGGCAGATTTTGCTTAAACTTCCAGGGATGAACGACCTTAATGTGTAGATGGTAGTAAAGGAAGGAATTTTTGCTGCGACCAAATTTAACAGAATTATGGCCCTTTGTTGATTTTTTCACTATATACTATGTAGAAATTTTGTGAACGCAACTCCTCTTAAACCGGATGGCAGATTTTGCTTAAACTTCAAGGGATGAACAACCTTAATGTGTAGATGGTAGTAAAGGAAGAAATTTTTGCTGCGACCAAATTTAACAGAATTATGGCCCTTTGTTGATTTTTTCACTATATACTATGTAGAAATTTTGTGAACGCAACTCCTCTTAAACCGGATGGCAGATTTTGCTTTAACTTCCAGGGATGAACAACCTTTATGTGAAGATGGTAGTAAAGGAAGGAATTTTTGCTGCGACCATATTTAACAGAATTATGGCCCTTTGTTGATTTCTAGTTTTCAACTTGTGGCACATGTAGTCCAAAAAATATTTGACCTAAAATCATAAGATTGACAGAACAGTGGCGTGTGGGGGCATCCACACATTTCTAGTTTAGTTTTGATTATTCGAAGAATTGGCTATTTTACTCACCCCTGTGTCTGCATCACACTTGGTTAAGAAAAAATTTCATGCAAGTTGATATCAACAAAGCTACTGATTGAAAATTCACATACTTTTTCTCTGTGATTATTTTACATGATGGGCATAGGTCCCACGACTGGGAGTTACCTTTTTAAAGAGTTATGCACCTTTTTATACTGTCAGGCTTACTGAGAAAAAGTCAAGAGCACTGTCTTACGGACACCTTGTTAAAACCAATACTGACTGATAGATTAATATTTTGTTTTAGAAATAATATTGGTCTGAGTGGTGTTTATCGGCCATTTAACAAGTTTTTAGTCTTGATGTGATGGAATAGACCACGAAGGCCGTAGGCTGTGAAGCAAAAATTGATTTGTAGGAAACATGAAGTTTTTGTTATGTTATTAGTCAACACATTTTACAATAATTGATGTAGAGTTAAATCGGGTATATTTAATTTATGGTGCATGTGTTCTCATCGGCATTATATGTATACATACTGGAATTGTATACTTAAGATTAAAAGTGCTAAATAAGAAAACTATATTTTATTTAAAAATGATAAGATTAATCCTCCTGGCTTTGTGTAATGATCTTTTACTGCTGTTGGTTTGGGAAATGCTGTTGCATATGCGAGGGACTTTGCCCGTTGTTAGTTCATGAGAAGTCAGTGGCAAAATATTGAAATCAAACCATAAACCTGCCAAATATTTGTAATTGATTTGTCGTGTTTTGAAATTGGAATATTCCATTCAATGTTTAAGGGATCTCAATATCAAAGTACAAAAGTTAAACAATATAACACCTGATTGAACCTCATAAAATTACAGGCCAGCCTTGCTTTAAGCTTATATCTTTCATTGTCAGCAGGTTAAGGTTCAACAGTAGGCTCTGGTTAAACTGAACTGGTATGGCTCTTGACTGGTGGCATTAGCGTGTAGTTGTTGGCTTTACTTTTGTCTGCCTCATTTTGATCTTTCTGTAAAACATCTTTTTACAAATACCTTTATGATCATTATTTAAGTTATATTATACGTTATATACACTGAAAACCGGTTGTGTCTGGTATTAATGACACCTACGTCTAAAAGATTTTAAACAATGAACCAAAGGTTTCTGTTGAAACACAATATAAGTATTATAATAAAAAAAATAATAATAGAAAAAACATGTTTATAAAGGGTTGTAACTCAAAATTCCTACTTGAACAGTTATAGTGCAAAAGTATATTTACATAGAAATATCTTGTATATAATAACTTTTTTCTATTTCTTTGGACAAAATTTGTTTTAAATTATAAGAAATAGATACTCTAAGCTTTTGATACAAATATTTAAATATGTAAGCTTTTGATACAAATGCATTGATAAGTTCATATGACAAAAGAAGTTCAGATATCATTGATGATAATAGTATCTGTTTTATATTCATTGATTATAGCTTCTGTCTATATCAGCTGATTGTTTGCCTGATATATTTTTATTGACGGCATTGATATAAAAATTAATTTGTTGTTTTGAATGAAAAAATGAATTGGGGGAAAAATAAAAAATGTAAATAAGCTAATATTTTGTATTTGAGTTGTTTTTTGTTAATCATGGGGATTAGAATTTTCTTCTTAGAAAAGAACTTTTGTTATCAGCTTCTGCTACTTTATTTTCTGTATAAGGGCTTCAAATATGTACAGCAAAGAATATTTTGAAATAATGTAATGTCCAACAAGATGATGAATGATTGAAAAGTGAAAGGTCCAAATTTACAATAGAGGTCCAGCAGTATGGTAATATGTGCTGCCTATAAATTTTGTATTTCTACTTGTGTTGGATTACTACAGTAATGTTTGATTCCACAGATGTAGGATATCTACATGTCTGTAAATCATAGTGGTGGATTGGATGATAGGCGAACGCCATTTGGGTTACAAATTGAGCATCGGTAATAAACGTAAGTTTCCGCTGATACAAATTTGCACTATAGCCCAATATGCAAAAGCGAATAAATAATAAACTCAAATCACTGTGTAGATTTTAAACATTTTCATGAAATTCAAAGATTTTGAAGAAAGCTTAAGATTCAATCTTTCCTTTATATCTAACATTTTTTTGTAAAGGCCTTGCATGCAGTGTTCTTTGAGGTATACTTTCCGTCGTTGGTTCTGGTCCAAAACATGCAACGCACGTGGAGAAAACGTCACAAAAGGGATATACTAGTTTTCCGCAGATACTGGATATGTACATGCAGATGTTTACTTGGTCAGGTGGAAGGACAGTTCTTTCATCCAGAAGTATTAGTTGACGTCAAAATGCCTTATAACATTCAGACCTCCACCTGTGATTTGTGGGGGGGGGGATGGAAATAACTTGCAGAATAATAGGTTATTACCATTAAAAAAATCCAGTACAGTAGCCAAGTTAAAGCCGTCAGCCTCAATGACACAAGGGAGATAATATAGACTGACCATTATTAGCGACTATGTAAGCACACATTAAATATATGAAAGCCAATTAGAAATACATGTATGATATTGATAAGACTCACGAAAATGAGCCAGCAGAAAAATAAAAGCATTTGTGTCAAATGAGTATATGAAAAATAGGCTGTGACATCAAAAACATTGCCAAGGAATATGGTCGTCCATAAACAGGACAGTTGTGTGTAACTTAATTATCCTTACTGAAAATGCATGCATGGTTACGATTTCTATAGATATCTGTTCAAAAGAATATCATATATTCAGCTTGCTTTGATGACACTTATCAGGTAATGTATATACTTTTTCTACATTAACACATAATGAATAAGTTATGCCAGTAAATTACAAATCGCGTTAAGATATTTATTTCAACACGGACACTAAACATTTGAGCCGCGCCATGACAAAACCAACATAATGGGTTTGCGACCAGCATTGATCCAGACCAGCCTGCGCCTCCGCGCAGTCTGATCAGGATCCATGCTGTTCGTTATCAGTTTCTCTACTTGTTATACCGTTTGTAAGCGAACAGCATGGATCCTGATCAGACTACGCGGAGGCGCAGGTTGGTCTGGATCCATGCTGGTCGCAAACCCACTATGTTGGTTTCGTCATGGCACGGCTCATTTGTTGATAATACACATCAATATATTATTTTTACAAGCCTTATGGAGTGTCAGTTCATCCAGTTTGCCTTCTATGACAACAACACAATATTTACAAGATATTATCTCTACAACATTTTCATCATTATTTCTCTACCTGTTTAGTTCTTCTTATGCTTCTTTTGAAATATATACTGTTGTCCAAAATGTCCCATGGAAAAAGACCATTATTTACGTCGTCCTATATATCCCCTATATTCTATTTAGTATTTCAATATTAACATCTGCATGGCTTGGTGATACGAAGTTATAATAGAGGTTCCATGTAGATGATTTGCACAAATCGGTTTGTTACCTTGTCGCCCTTTGTGTCTGCAAAATGTTTATAGTTCGGCGGTCCTCTTCAATAATCGTGTACGAGTGTTACTTTGAACGGCTACTTTATAAGTAATAATTAAGATACACTCTCATTTTTTAAATGTAAACATTGAGATTTTAAGTGCCTTTTGGAAAAAAGAACTGACGCTATACCTGTAATGGTGTTTTATTTAATATTTTGCAAATTTATTCTAGCTATAGAATGGGCTCGCTAATTACGCTTACTTACTTTTTTTGTTCAATGCCTCCTAGAGCTACGGTATATTTTTCACATTTGCTTTTATATAAGTGTATATTTACATTCAGGCAATACGGCTTCTAAAACAAACAGAATCATTCAGTTCAGGCAAATACAAATGAAGGTGTTATGATATACATGTAGTTTATGGTTCCGTTTTATTTTCTGTCGGTATCCGTTTGTCATCAGCAACTCTCGTCAACTTTTTTTTGCACAGCAGGAACACTTCTAAAGCTAGCTGCAGAAGTTCTACATACGTCAGTACAGATGCCCCAATATACAGCCCCATAGCGCCGCCTATGTCGGAGAGAAACCGTAACGTGTTATATAATGGTTCTTCTGTGATAACTTCGTAGTCAAGGTCCTCGAAGTATATGACCACTGCAAGAAAATTTGAGGAGACTTCCTTTTGGTCAGTGGTATTACATATTTGATCACTCGAATCGGTCCTGTTTCTTTTATTGCAAAGGTCGTCCAGAAGAACTTGTTGAAGATATTCGTCGTGTGGCCACTGTAGACTTGAGGTTGACTTTGAGAAATATCTTTCCTCACATCTTGAACTACAATCACACTTTTCATTCCCATAGTGTATATCATCAATTACTTCTCGTATGCATTTGAAGTCGTCGTCAGTACTGCACACGCGTACGTCTTCGCCTTGATTTAAAAAATCAACGTAAGAGAACTGCTTACACATACATCTTGATTTTAATGTTTCAATTTCACATATAGAACGGCAAAGTGGAACAGTGTATTTAACTTTGTATTTCTTTTTGAATTCATGCCCATCTGTACATTTACCGTACTTTCCACCTAGTCTAGAAATTCTTGACATACGGAGTCCAATATGAGTTTCTGAATGGGAACTGAGGGATAATCCCTCGTCGTCTGGAAGAGGAAATGTCCCTCTCTCATGGAACACCATACGAACGCCGTAAGCAGAAGTAAATGCTTTCAGATATTCGTGCGTTTCAATATTAAATATTATTTTGAGGCTGTATTTGTGACCAGTTCCGTAGGTGATGAATGAATCTTCATCCAAGGTAAAACAATTACCATAAACGTGAGAATGTATCTCGTGGAAAGCATCATTTGGTAATTTTAATCCTGTAAGATCAATAAATCACGAAGTCAGAGTCATGCAAACAACAATATATTTAAAAAGAAAAATACAAATGCACAATCGGCAATGCTTTTTAAATGATTATTTAAGACCTTAAATTATTTGGTAATTTTATCTTGGAAAAGTCCATCAGATCTTCGAAACAGCGTCCCGATAGCTATATATCACGCGCCTGTGACGTTCGTTTCTAAATTATTCGTCCGCTTTATCTGAAGAGAGCGGACCGGTATATTAGAGGTATTGACGGGTTTCCTTAGTGTTTACGTATTTTATCGTCGGCATCTTTCCACCTTAATTCGTTTGACTTGACAATTATATGAAACTATTAATCTTAAAATAACACATTTAACTTTTAGAAAAGCTGAAGCAAGGACGCTTTAGCAAAAGTAGCTTAATCTTAAAATTCCTTAATGGAATCCTTTCCTGACATAATGATTAATGCATCCAAAACAACAAAGTGAATACCTAAAACTTATTATAAATAATATGTTTAATGAGAGTATTTCTCACCGGAATACACGGCACTGTGTATAAAGTGTTCGTTCTGATGCCCAATCAGTGACCTGTTTTTACTCGCCAATTTTCCAAACTCAGACAGGAACCTGATCTTCCATATTTCAAATGTATCCATGGTACTGTTGAATTCGTCCAAGAATTCTTTGTCAATAAAAATCTCAGAGTCATAACTGTCATCATGATCATCAACCCATTCCTCGTCATTCAATTTATCTTTTTCGAGATAGGCGTTTTGGATACTTTCAAACTTATCTAGTTGACTTAATCGCACAGGATTCATGTTGCAAAATGTCATGGCCGGAAATTCAAGCGGCTCGAACTTAAGATGAACCGATGTCTTTGTCGGGTAAGAGTAAAATTCCTCCCATAAGCCTTTTAACTGCAGTGCAAAGATTGCCATTGTCCCTTCAAAATAAAGATCACAATTTTTCACAAATAAAAACAACAACTACAAAAATGCAACAGCTAAATACAGTGATGTTTGATGTTTGGATGTGGCGGAACTCACGGGAGGTAACAATTATAAAAAGACAGTTTTATTGTCGTATATTTTTCTTTCCTTTAACAACAAAATCGTAATATCTTGTTTCCATAGATTTCAAAGAAGTTAGCACTTGGTAAATGCTTTTGTCTTTGGAGAGAAAAGAATCAACAAATGAACTTTTCTTACTACATAATACATATTGAAATTTAAAAGAAAATATATTCTTTCTATTTCAAAATGTTCTGTCAATTAAATTTCCTACATTAATTAAACAGTTGTTTTATTTTCACGTTAAAGGCAAATCAGAGCACCTTTACGCAAATAAAAAATATCTCCAGTTTATTAATTTCCAATTAAGATTTGGAATGGAATTGTTTTAAAATTGATAAATGTAACATATTATTGACACAGTTGTTTGCCCAGTGTTACATACTTAGCTTATGGTGGCTGATTTCTGCTATTTCTTTATTTTGATTTGTCGCGGTGCGACGAACAGAACGACAAAACGCCTTTAAAAGCGACAATCCGCCAAATTTAAGGCGACAATACGGGGTGTCGAAACACAATTCTATCGTGTCGTTGACGCATGAAAAATTTCGTATCCGCGCTACCATTTTCCCGTTATTTCGTGTTGACGCGGTATATATATCTCGTTCTGTCGGTCTTTCGTGTTCTCGCCCCTTCAGTCGCGACAATTCATGATTGGCAGAAATCAACCTTCATACATACCTAATAGCAGAATGCTCCATAACAATTTAACAGCTAGTTGTCTGGATGATATGATTTTCGGGAGTCCATGAAGAGAGCTTCCTTCTCCCAGCTCCTGAAAAAGTGTCTTAAAATCTTTAGTTTCTGTCATACCGTCCTTTTATCTTTGTCCTAATTATTTATTATTCAACTCAATAGACACATAAGGTTCTATGTCGTTAAAACATAAGGTTCTATGTCGTTAAAACATATGGTTCTATGTCGTTAAAACAACTAATGAAGTCCAGGTCTTCTCGATCTGCAATAAATATATTAATTGAAATATTTTGTCAAGCATCCACAACAGTTTTCTGAAATTCAATGTCCATCTGTCGTTACTATGTAATTAGGTGTATCCATTAGTGGTTATGCATGAAACTAAACGCAGTAAATCTTAAATAATCATAACCAGTAAGTACCCTCATTTATTATTCAAGAATGCATTTGCAAGAAACATATAATTAAAAAAGTAAATTATTTAGCCCACCTGAAACTGCACTCCCTTTATTCTTATGCTATCTTTAAATTTACGACCACAGACACACTCAGTCAAAGATATCAATTAAGTCATTGATTAATATTGAATGAATGCCTCTTCTGATCTAAAATCATGAAACGTTTTGCCTCCACGTACATAATTATATCATCACAACATTTCATTTTCTGCTGCATGGGTGTCCCTTCATGCGAGACTAACATCGGTTTGCTTCAGAGAATATACTGGTTATATCGGTTGGGCTAATAACCTTTTTATTACATGTGCCTTACTTTACTAAAAGTATACATTCCGAGTTAAATGGGTTCACTTTGAATTTTAAAAGTTCACCTCTTTGTTTGATTTTACGTCGCACCAACACAGTATACGTATAGGTCATATGGCAGCATTTTGGTGGAGGAGTGGAACCATCGACGTACCTTCAGCTAGCTGGATTTCTTTCTCACATAAAAAATCCAAAGACGCTTGCGCGACTCGAATCTACATGTAGCAGTGAGAGGCAAGTGGTTTGAAGTCAACTGCCTTAACCACTCGTCCACAGACGTCTCCTTGAAAGATCTAATCTAACGTATGCAGAATGTTAGTCCCATTGCTTTCATATTAAATTCGACATGAACTATCTTTTTTATTTGGCTACAATATATATTGCCATCCCACACAGACAACAAAAGGGCAAATGCGACTGGACTGCATGGTGTTGTTCTTGTTATTTTGTCAATAACGCTTTGTCGTTCTGATGAACAGTAGTATTGGCTAACCATGGCGTCAGCAAAAGCAAAACAACGTTTACTGATAAACAGTTGACGAAATGGGTACCAAAACGAAACAAATATGTGAAGTTATCTTTTTGGTTATTGCATAATTGTCGTTTTGTGGCAAATTCATTCTGTTTTATCACGGCTTAGTTTAATAATTTTTCATTAATAATTTATGCATTCGTCATATTTCTGAACCAATATGACATTAAGCTACTTCCGACGAAACATTGTCTAGCAGTTTGTATACATATATTAAACACAATCACGATCACGATTTTACTTTGCTGTTGCTTCTTAAATGTTTTAGATGTTTTAAATATTCTAACAAGTAGACGAACTGACAGAGATATACCAGTGTAGTAAGTAATTCGCATTGTCCTGTAAGTTTTATGTGCTTAAAGGATTTGAATCTGTTTTACTTGCACCGTTGGTCTTTGATCAATACTTGGAAAGTGTGATCAGAATTCTGAGTTTTAACTGTGCTGTAAGCATCAATCAGCATTACACATGTAGCACTTTTTGGAACTTTTTTAAAATGTATATTCTACATCAGTTTATTGATTGATTGATTGATTGATTGACTGATTTATTGATTTAGTCGACCGTCAATCAATTGATTGATTGATTGATTGATTGATTGATTGACTGACTGACTGACTGACTGACTGACTGACTGACTGGCTCGCTCGCTCGCTCGCTCACTCACTCATTTATTTATTTATTTATTTATCTATTTATTGAAAATATGCATATGCATATATCTTAATTAAAGGAGCTCCAATGAGGTCAAAAGGCCTATAATAACATAAAAAAAATCAATTAAAGATAAAGTACTGCAGTAAAGCTAAGTGAAATGGTAAAAAAATATGGATAATAAAAGAATGCTCTGAATTAAATTTAAAACCGATAAGAAAGTGAAATCATGTAGAACTGAGATTAGAAAGCATTTCTTTTCTCTACGGGTTATCTCGGACTGGAACAATTTACCAGAAGTGGTTGTGAATGCTCCTTCACTTAATAGCTTTAAAAACAGGTTGGACAAATTCATGGGAGAAACACAGTATACCACCATACCGGATCAGAACTGGGTACAAAACCATGGGGGGGTTATAGAAGACGATGATGACGTCTTGCGACCTCAACTCCAGTAAAGTAAAGTATTATTATTTGCCCGATTTGTGGGATTAAGAAAAAAAACAACATTGCAACGCTTTTCTCTTTGGGTCATTTTGCACAATTTATGATTATTCTAAATAAATTATGGTTAAAGTTTTATGGGCACGGCACCGGACGGCAATTAGATGTTTGCAGCACATAATAGGTAATTTTAATTTACAAAAGTTATTTCCCTTTTGTGTTTAACGCCAACAGATATGGCAATAAATTAAAGAGGGCATGGAGGGAATAAAAACTTATTCAAAGGTTTTATTCAAGTTTTATTATTGTAGTTGCTTGATGTATTGTCTATTTTGTACGCATTGGCATTTGTAAAGCCATAAGATCTGTTAAAACATAAAATGTAACTGTTATTTTGCAGGCATAATGTTGTGTGGTAGAGCATTTGTTAAAGGTGGTGCTGTGGTTAGACATTTTGGAAGAGTTTTAAAAACAACAACATGTTTGCAATTCAGAACTCTAACTGTGCCTGCAGATGTTAAAAGTAAGGAGGATAAAGTGAGGCAGTTACAGAAAGGTTAGTGGAAAAGCATAATATGAAAATCAGTTCATTAAAAATAAAATTGATTTTTTTTATTAAATTATAACAATTGTTTTACATTAGTTTTTTTTTGCATGGTAGTAAATAATGACTGAAGCTCTGTGATTTAAATTTGTATCTCTTGAATTCTATTAATTTACAAATTTGAATGTTTTCAGTAATAGGTTCATGTCAATGTAATAGCAACTTAGGCCATAGCATATTTAGCGTTACAGGCTTGTAAGTTATGTGGTCAAGCTAGTTATAGTGTATTGACTCATAACTAGCTCATATAAAATAAAATCTATGTTTGCTTTCAAATGTTATCAAAAGCTATCTTTTTCTTTCAATTTATTCGATTGCTCATCATTACACATAAATACTCCTACAAAATTATGTACTGTATCATGTTAAAATAGAAATAAAACATCAATCTATTTTTGTCTATCAGCCATGCTGGTTAAGCAAGGTGCTTTACAGATTGATTCCAAATTTTTGAACGGAAAAATATATTCGAACACACTGACGGTGCATAGGCAATTATTTCGTTAAAAAAAATATTCCGTTAGATTATTCTGACTCAGTTAAACGCTTGCATTTGAATTAGCCAATCAGATTTCGCGCACTTTATGGCCGCCATTTGTTTATCGGCTGTAAAAAGAATTGAAATACATGAGGGGATTTAATCATGATTTTTCGGATGTGACAGTTTAATTATTTTGACAAAAGGATTATATTTTTTAGTTTTGTTCATAAATAGGTCAAAACTTATGTAAATACACGCTGTCTTCATTGTTTTTCGTTCCGCCCGATTTTCTGGCGGAACATGCTATGGGTTTTTGAGCAATTTCGATATGACGTTGCTTTGCCCAGAAGCAAAAAATATCTCAAAGCGACGTCATATTTTTATAGGACTACTTAGGCCATACTGACAGATTGTCAAATTATGGGTTTGACCATTATCAGTTCAGAATAAGTACACTCACTAGTATGAACTTTTCTAAAAATGTATAGAAATTATTTACATTCTCAGACTGTTTATTTGTTTATATACAGGGCCATCCTTAGAGCATTTTATTGCTAACAGTACTAATACACCAGCTAAGCAAAATGTTTGTACTGATGATGTTAATATTCCATACCTGAATGACAGTGACCTACTTGGAAATGGGAGGAATGGTAATGTTTACAGTTATGTAAATATTCTGTAAATTATTCAAGTGCTTTTAATTGTTAAAAATATGTGTTGTCTTAAAAATATTCAAAAATGTATGTATAGCTAGAATATTATTTAAATTATAAATAGTAAATAAAAGGCTATTCAGTTCATTTCTCAAACTGTACAGAAGTTGATTAGTCTTTGCCACCGGTATAGTGCCAGGTCAGTCTGCAAATTTGTGCGTTTTGACGGGCCATATATTGTTGGTAGCTTAATTTTTTGTATTTTGATAGTAGAATCAAGTCCTTTAAATTTTGAATGGACTGCTTTAAATTGCTAGGCAATCCCATGACAAATAAAAGAAAATCAGCAGGTTAAGAGTTGAATAGGAGAAAATTAGCTTAACTTGTATTAGCTTTTTTTTTTATGGAATACATGTACAATAATTATATGTTACAATAATTATGTGTTGTTTCAATATTTCAGTGTATTTTGATGTACATGGTTGTCAGATGAACACAAATGATATGGAAATTGCTTGGTCTATCTTGCAAGAAAAAGGCTACCAGAGAACTAATGATATGACTCAGGTCAAATATTCTGCTTATTTTTATCAAGAAGTTACAGAACATATGTGAAAAAATAGCCTAAGAAAAGTGTAATAGATATTAATTTCCAGATATTATTTTTTTTTTAATAATACCTGATTTCAACTCAATACTTTCCAAGATTAAGCATTGCACATAGTACGATGAAAACCAAGGGTACATTAATTTTCACAATTAAATATGAGACAAACTTCTTCCTTTTGAGCTACAGTAAATCATATTAGTAAGATAGATTCAAAAGTAGATTTGATGTATTCCAAAAAGAAAATTTCATGGGAAGGGATTTTGAAATACAAAAAAAATAAATATTTTTTCTTTCTTTAATTCTATACAGGCTGATGTTGTTTTGGTCATGACATGTGCTATAAGGGAAGGGGCGGAACAGAAAATCTGGAGGAAGCTGAAGCATCTAACAGGGATGAAGAGACGAGGACCTTTAAAAAAAGGTGGAGTCAGGATGAAAATAGGAATTCTTGGTAAAATATTATTATTGAAAGATAACAAGCTTTATATAAAAAAAGTATATTATCCATTTAATATATCAAGATCAATCTAATACTAAGTAAACATGTGTTGACTTACCTTTCTATAAAAACAAACACAAAATGAAGAAAATAAAATGTTATTACCTCCCTTTATTTAGACTTTGTTTATGTGCCAGTTAAAAGTTTATGTGCCAGTTAAAAAAATACTGATGTGAGATGTTTCAGTTGTATCATTTAGACATGTAGCAAAACAAAATGGAAAAAAGTGTTACATGTATCTTTATACAATGTATAAATATTATTAACCTTATTTCAGCTTCAATGTCAAAATAAGCAATATTTTATTATGAAACTCTACTTTATAGAAAATAGAATTGATTTCAAAACTGCTACAGTAATGGAGGAATTCCAACTTCAGCAAGAATTTGATTGAATTAATTGAAATACCCCAAATTATTCTTTTTTTATCCCGAAGGGATTATTTACACCAACAAAAATATTTTCAGTTAAATAAAGTTTTAATAAAAAAAATAAAAGCTCCCATAATTTTATGATTTTACGAAAAGTCATTTTTTAAAATTCTTTTTTGTTTGAGAATAATGTTATTTGCATATTTCACCTATCAATTAAGATATAATGGTTATATGTTTATGCATATATGCCATGCATATAAATTCAACTTCAACTGCCTAAAAAAAGGGGAAAAAAGGTATTTATTTTTATGAAAAAGATAAAAATTAATGGTCTATTAAAATTGGTTAGATAAAAAAGTTTAAACCAATAATATTTTTTAACAATATGTATCTAAAACTAAAAGTGCATTGATCAATGATCTAAAATTTGAATGGATCATTTTATATATGTAATCGAGTGTTTAACAATTTATAAAAGGGAGGTAATTCAAAATATCAAAATGTTATTTTTTGGTCAAAATGAGCTCTGGGAATGAAATGTTTTCTGATATACTTCATTTTTTAGTTAATTGTAATTCAATTAAAGTGAAAATAAGTATAAATAATATAATTATGCAAAAAATTTAACTTTACAACTTGTAAAATTATTAAATCCTAGTATAAATAGGGATAATTTAGATTATAAGTATGTGCTGCTAGGCAACTTGCAATTGGAGCTACTTACAGGGAACTTGTTTCTCTATAATATTAGCTCTAGGGAAAGTCCCCAGACACAGGGCAGAGAGTGTTTCCCTGTCTGACACAGGAGCCCAGGTCCCTAGTTCTTGTATGACAGCTGTGAAGCCATTTGGCTGAGCTTGGAATGGACTTGGTTATAGTCTAATCACAGTAATGCAGGTAGTGTTTGCGAACACTGACTCAATGGGGCTTATGCTTGGTTAGCTTTTGTTTTCTATTTATTTTCATTTGAACTACTTATTTCATCTGCCTACCTACTTATTGGATGTGGATTTTTTTTTATTTTGCCAACAGCTACAACCAAATTGGCGAGCTTAATTTTTATTGTGTACTGAATATATTATTAAAAGAAGATTGCATGACTTTGTGATGTTGTAACAGTCAGTTATCTGCTGTAGGTGTATTTGTCACTTTTCAAAGACTTTCTGTGTACTTTATTTGTAAAAAAAAATACATGTATGTGAAGGTTAGAGGGAAATTATCATACTTTTTTGGCAGAATTAACTTTTAGAATTTAGCTGAAATTTGTAGGGAAACACATGTTATCTTATCTGTTATCATACGAAATAAGTTAATAGTAAATTGTTTAAATGAAATAGGTAAACACTATTTTGTATTTAGACAAACATGAAATTTAATAGAAACTCAGTTAATATGCAACACTTATAATAAATTCAGTCAAAGTAACTTTTAAATCTCATTTCGTATGAAATCAGTGAAATAAATATAGGGATTTTTCTTGGGAATAATTTGTTGCTGAAAATTCTAGATATTATTGTGAACCTTCTATACATACAAAAAGTATTGTCAATAAATATGCTAAACACTCAATACCGCGCCAGCTTACTGAACATGGATTCCTATGGCTGTTTCTCCTTACTCAGTTTCTCTACTTGTGTTTAAATTAGAAGTTGGCTAATAGCGAAACAGCAAAATGGGTCATCCCATGTTTTGCAAGACTGCGCCGCCGGATTTGGCGAAAGCAGGATCTGCAGACTGGGTGCGCAGGTTGTCCATGCTGGTCGCAAACCCATTATGTTGGTTTTGTCGTGACGCGGCTCATATACTAACAGGTTGTATGGCGGAGAGGTTGAAAACACAGATATTAGAGAAGGAGAAACTGGTAGATATTGTCTGCGGTCCTGATGCTTACAGAGATTTGCCCAGATTACTAGCTGTCACAAACAACAAACAAAGTGCAGGTAATACTTCGAGAATGTTTGATTTATCGTTATAAGGTCTTAAGTAAGGACTTGATTATATCAATATTAACAGTTTCCTAAAGAAAACAAACTCCAAAACTCTAAATATAAAATCTAAAAATCAAGCATTAAAGCTGTAAGTGAAATTGATTAGTTGTTTATACAAGAAATGTGTTTAACCCTTTGCCAGCTGGCAGCAACACATTCAACTCATGTGTCCAGTGCAGACCAAGAACTACTGTCACATGTGCTGATTGAGGGGACTGTTTACTGTTCATACAGTACATTTTTTGAACAATTTTCCAATAAGTAATGAGTGGTTTAATCCATATTAAAAGATAGACAAGTCCAATTAATATATTTAGCATATTAAAAGATAGACAAGTCCAATTAATATATTTAGCATATTAAAAGATAGACAAGTCCAATTAATATATTTAGCATGGTAAAGGCTACAAAAAAGGGTATATTATACAATGAAAAATATAGAGAATGATAGGTTGGTGCCGTGGATGGAGAAAGTTTATCTGGCGAGGCGGAGGAATTTATTGGGTGAGCCGAAGCAACCCAATAAATTCCGGAGCAGAACCAGATAAATTTTCTCCATCCACGGCACCAATCTATTATTCTATTTATCCTGTCACCGTTTTTATTTTTTAAAGAATTTTATTAGGCAAACTACCTTTAATCACACTATTGGAAATGTTTCTATATAAAGAAAGAAGGCCTGAAGCGTGCATTATTATACAACAATGCACTCGCCGTTCTTATTATCTCCCTGTGTAATTTCACACTGAGGGTGCCATTTTGTTTGAAAAATGTGATAAATTAAAACAATTTTTTGTCGAATTTTATTGTGAAAACTATCTAGAATGAAAAAAAATGGTCTTACTAAGAAAATGAATTCGAACACCAATATCTTTTATTCAGTCGTTAACACTGTACAGACGTTTAAAGTATTGTTTATGTGACGTCACAATGTAGCGCCAAACAGCATGTGCAAAACAATCAAATCAAGTACGCTATTTTAATGTCGCAAACGAGTTAAGTTTTACATTTATTTCACTTTTAATAATTTTTATTTCGCTTGAAAAATTATAGAGTGGATTAAAATAAACAAACAAAGTTTTATCGATGTTTCCAAAATTTGTTATTCTACACACAGAAGATTTAACGACAGTTTTTTTCATACCACTTGAAGGGCCTGTAAATCTTGAAAAGTAGTCCGGCAAAGAGGTGCCCATTCATGCATACCACGTGATCAAGTGAAAATATACGGCACCTTGTTATCGGGCCGAAATTGATACAAGTGACAGGATAAAATTTGATATGTTTTATGCTAATGATTATGAATGACTGATCATATATTTTCAGTGAATGTGTTATTATCTCTGGAGGAAACCTATGCTGATGTGATGCCTGTCAGGCTAAATGAGGACTCAGTTACAGCATATGTGTAAGTATTTACACTGTTACATCATATTTGTAAGTATTTACTCTGTTACAGCTCATGTATAAGTATTTACTCTGTTACAGCATATGTGTAAGTATTTACTCTGTTACAGCATATGTGTAAGTATTTACTCCATACAGCATATGTGTAAGTATTTACTCTGTTACAGCATAATGTGTAAGTATTTACTCTGTTTCAGCATATGTTTAAGTACTTACTCTGTTACAGCATATGTGTAAGTATTCACTCTGTTTCAGCATATGTGTAAGTACTTACTCTGTTACAGCATATGTGTATTTACTCTGTTACAGCATATGTGTTAGTATTTACTCTGTTACAGTATATGTGAAAGTATTTACCCCATACAGCATATATTATTGTTAAAGCATATTTATAAGTACATTGTATTTAACACATTCCTATCCTGCATAACATAATCATCATTGTCTAAATAAAGCACTCGATATCTACTTTTGAGAATTGAGAATTTCATCTTTACTAGAGTAGATCTATCCACCTGTATTATATTTATATGTATGAAATGCATTTCAGAGTCTTTTATTTAGTCAATTTAAAGGTTAGTACATGTACATAGAAGGTAAAAATTATTTCCCTGAAGATGTAAAGAACAAAATTAGCACTTTAAGACTGACTTTTGTATCAGAGTATTAAAATGATAATGATGTATTAATTGGGAAGTGAAACTTGTCTTCAGTTTATATGCATGCAATATGCTGTAATTTAACATATATCTTCATTAGACTGATACAAGATTTTTAAATTGTATATTCATTTTCATTTGTATTTTTCAGCTCAATAATGAGAGGTTGTGACAATATGTGTTCCTATTGTATTGTACCGTTTACCCGAGGACGAGAAAGAAGTAGACCCATAGACTCTATACTAGATGAGGTCAGGATGTTGTCAGATCAGGTTAGTCACTTACTGACATCATATTTTATAATTTGATGTTTTATAATGCTTCCTAAGTCTGTGCACTTAGCTGAACAGGGACAGCATTGGTTTAGTATTCTATGGGTTGCTGGGTCAATCTTTGGGCAAAACAAAATTTCTTTAAGACAGTTGATATCTGACACTGAATCTAATTTTAATAGTCCTTTGTTTGTGATCGCTGATTCAGAAATCATGTGAGATTAGTAGTAAGTCAGTTGTGGAGATATTAGTAATTACTGGTTAGTTATACAGGAAATCCAGTTAGGTGGATCAATGTCTGTGATATTACCAAAAAAGTGTAAAAATTTGTGTAAAATCCAGAAGAAACAAAAAAGTATCCTTTATAGAAGAAAAGACACCCAGTTTTTCTGTCATTACTTTTATGTTCATAGAAGAGGAATATAAAACTGACATCTAGGTAAATGTAAATAATGGAGATACTAGTATTCTTAATCGTTTTTTGTATTTTATTTCAAAATTTTCATATATTGATTTTATCATACAGGGAGTAAAGGAGGTGACACTTTTGGGTCAAAATGTGAACAGTTACCGGGACATATCAGAATCAAGTTTTTATGGTGCACCGGATCGGTCGCAAGCCACAACTCTTCGGGACGGTTTTAAGACTGTATACAAACCTAAATCAGGAGGTCGCAGGTTTGCTGACCTTCTGGACAAGGTGTCAGAAATTGATAAGGACATGAGAATCCGGTTCACTGCTGCACACCCAAAAGATTTCCCAGATGAGGTAAGTTTTACCTTAATTATACATACTCTTGGGAGCTCAAAATGTGTTCAAATCTATTATAGACCTTGAAATGTTTTCAAAACAGTTTAAATTAAGTTTTATTGATACATATGACAAGTATATCTGTTGGGATTGACAAATATACAATTTATTTGGATTTTAATGCATTTTGAACTCCGAACCCCAAGTGTCTGTGTTTAACAATACATACAATATAAGCTTATATTTTCCCATGTGAGTGATGCACATGTTGTTTTAATCAACATCAATATTGCCAAACAGAAAATATATATTTTAAGTCTTGAAGCAAAAGAAATTCTCTGCTGATATAGTATGAAGCCCTATTTCTAACATTATATATTAATGTAAAATAAATATTTTCAGGTGTTACAGTTGATAAAAGAGAGAGGTAATATATGTAACCAGTTACATTTACCTGCTCAGAGTGGAAATAATGAAGTATTACAGGCAATGAGGAGAGGGTACACAGTGGAAGCTTATAGGCAACTGGTGGATCATGTTCAAAACCTTGTACCTGGTTTGTTGATATTTTCTTTAACATTGAATACTGTGTTACAAGTACTATCTTCAATTGATTTATAAATAGCACTGAGAGACAAATGACCATTACACTCAATGTCTGAGATGAATTGTCACAGAGAAGTTTCTCCTTACCAGAAGATTGAACCAGAAAATGCTGAATGTATAGAGTTTTGGTTGATTTAGAATAAAAGAGCCATATAAATGTTCACTTCACCTGGATGGCTTTTCATACACAAGTATCTTTGTTGACATATTGTGTGAAGTAAGTTACCTAATAGAAACAATGTAAAATATTTTATCATTGAGTCTACATATATATTATAAGTTATAAAGATTGTTGACAGGTTATATGGTCCTATATAAATGGCTGTTTGTAAATATAACCAGAGCCGCTAGGCGAGGGTTATATTGCAAACAGCCGTTTATATACAGCCATATAACCTGTCAACAATCTTTATAACAAATTTATAGTACAGCAAGCATCATTTTTTAGAGAAAAAAGTAAGATTTCTTTATGAATCGACAACAGCCGTGTATATTAAACTATATAAACATCACGATTATCCAATTAAAAGCGACTTTATGTGCAGTATTAAAGAATTTATTCAACTTTAGCTTGCTCATAGTTACAGAATCTACCCATGCACCCAGTGCAGACCAAGATAAGCTGGCTAATCCATGCTATCTGCTTATGGTCAGCACTGTTCGCAATTCAATTGGTACATAATTTTGATATTTTACCTAAAAATGATGAATGGTTTTGTCCACAAGTCCATTTAAGATATTAAGCATGGTAAAGGTTAAAACAATTTGATTGTAGGTGTGGCATTGAGCCATTGACTAATAATTTTATATGTAGGTTTTGTAGGTGTGGCATTGACTAGTGATTTTATATGTGGGTTTTGTAGGTGTGGCATTGACTAGTGATTTTATATGTGGGTTTTGTAGGTGTGGCATTGACTAGTGATTTTATATGTGGGTTTTGTAGGTGTGGCATTGACTAGTGATTTTATATGTGGGTTTTGTAGGTGTGGCATTGACCAGTGATTTTATATGCGGGTTTTGTAGGTGTGGCATTGACCAGTGATTTTATATGCGGGTTTTGTAGGTGTGGCATTGACTAGTGATTTTATATGCGGGTTTTGTAGGTGTGGCATTGACTAGTGATTTTATATGTGGTTTTTTTAGGTGTTTCATTGACCAGTGATTTTATATGTGGGTTTTGTAGGTGTGGCATTGACCAGTGATTTTATATGCGGGTTTTGTAGGTGTGGCATTGACTAGTGATTTTATATGTGGTTTTTTTAGGTGTTTCATTGACCAGTGATTTTATATGTGGGTTTTGTAGGTGTGGCATTGACTAGTGATTTTATATGTGGGTTTTGTAGGTGTGGCATTGACTAGTGATTTTTTATGTGGGTTTTGTAGGTGTGGCATTGACTAGTGATTTTATATGTGGGTTTTGTAGGTGTGGCATTGACTAGTGATTTTATATGCGGGTTTTGTAGGTGTGGCATTGACTAGTGATTTTATATGTGGGTTTTGTAGGTGTGGCATTGACTAGTGATTTTATATGTGGGTTTTGTAGGTGTGGCATTGACCAGTGATTTTATATGCGGGTTTTGTAGGTGTGGCATTGACTAGTGATTTTATATGCGGGTTTTTTAGGTGTGGCATTGACCAGTGATTTTATATGTGGGTTTTGTAGGTGTGGCATTGACTAGTGATTTTATATGTGGGTTTTGTGGAGAGACTGAGGAAGCCCATCAACAGACATTACAGTTGATTAGAGACGTCAAATACAGTATGGTGTTCTGCTTTCCCTACAGTATGAGACAGGTAACTTGTCTTCCTATTTCCTATGTCACATTGTTTGTCACAAACTCATGCCACTGTTACGACTCTGTAAAAACAGTATTGCATGGCTGTAAATATCTTTAGTGTGACGTCATTTGCGTTATACAAACATAGCGTAAAGACACACTGAATGTTAGCTTTACACTGTAAGATCTCTAGGAAAATGATTCTTTTTATCATTTAACAGTTCTTACTTTGAATAAATAGAATATTATATTCGTGTAGCTTCATTTCTAAATTTATTGAACATGTTGAATAAAATAATATTATGCTTTTATTCAACTCTTTCAATAAATTCAAATAGAGCCTCTATTTTTGTGTCAAAATATATACTGAATCATTGTAAATTTGTGTGAGTGAGTTAGCAGGAGTTGTCTAAAAATGAATATCATTGCGAGTGAATCATCCAAAAGGTTTATTTGAATCTAAAACACACAAAGAAGGTAAATTAATGAAAGTTATCAATTTGATTTTAATGAATCTTCAAAAACAGTATTGAAAATATTCAGCAATGTTATTTTTGTGGTAGAGTAATGTTGAAACCCATACAGTTCATTCCTTCGTTTTGTATTGATTTTTCCATACCCCACACAATATATTCTCCAGTTATAACATCAAGAATGTGTACAGTTGTATTGAAATTATATTCATATACTTATTCATGAGGGAAAACAAATATGCTTATATAGTAAGGCAACTTTTAAGTATATTTTTCTAAATCTAGCATGGTATGTAAATGTATGACAAGTTTATTTCATTACAAGTTTAACACCATTTACAGAAAACAAATGCTTATCACAAGTTGAAAGATGATGTGACAGAAGATGACAAGAAGAGAAGACATTTAGAAATGAAAGAAGTGTTTAAACAAGTGGCAGGGAAACTTACTGAAACATATGTGGGACAAGTTCATACTGTCCTTGTTGAAGGGGTCAGTATATCTACCATAAAATCATTTAGTTGTGAGGACGTTTTAATTTTCATAATTTACACTGTAGTCTGAAGTTAACCTTTAACCTGCTGGAACCGAAAGTGAATAGTTTTTGCCACCAGTATAGAGCATGGTCAGCCTGCAGATCAGCTCAGTTTTTGTACTTTGATGTTGAAAACCCTTAATTTTTGAATGGACTGTTCCAAATTCAAAGCCAGGTACATTTATTACACAAAATCAGAAGGATAAGGTCTAATGGCATTAGAATAAAGATTACAACAAACACAAATTAAGTTTCACAAGCCTATGTCTGAGTGAAATAATACGGTTAAATTATCAATTTTTTATTCCATCTGTAACATAATCTGTATTTCGAAAGAGCACTGTTAACAGTCACCTACTGGTGGTTTAACAGAGCACATGTTTTGTTTCCATTCAATAGAATAATGGGCATTGGCCCTCTATTACAATTAAAGTAACAGTCCATTATCCAAATCTGGTGGCAAGCCAGTCTGTTTGATTATCTGGTATCTTTTAAACTTTAAGTTAATTGATGAATTATTGGTTTTGTTGTTGCCAGTTTCCTACACATTTTTATGATATCTTGGCAGTATGTCTACCGAATTGTCCTTCCTGGATAACTAACCAGTAATTTCCACTTCTTCATGGGTAACCAACTACTTATCTCACATGAATGGGACGTTTGGAGATTTTACAAATTTATATTTTTTCTCTCACCTTTTCCATGGATCAAATGTCTGGTTGCTATGGTAATAGAAATTGTCATATTTATTATGAAAAGATGCAGCTATTTACATGTTGATTTTATGTTTGTATTTTACAATATAGGTTAGCAAGAAAGACAAGAATTTTTTATTTGGTAGGAATGATGCAGGTCTAGCTGTAATTTTCCCAGATAACGAGATTTTAGATGGAAATAATAATAGACAACCAAAGGCAGGAGATTATGTAGATATAAAGGTTGGTTTGTAAGAGTAATAACAGCTTTACAGTCAGTTATATGTATTTTATAAGTTGACAGGTTTTTAAGCCCAGAAATATTTAACCAACGCTGCTTATTGAAATAACAATATTTTCACTTTGCTAAAATTGATAAATTGGCAGCAACACTATACTGATATAGAAAATATAAATGTCACACTTTAATGAAAATTTACTCGTGCATTATTATAAACTTGATGGATGGTGGGCATACACATTGTATAGTTTGCCTCTTCATCGATACCAATTCTGGGAATTTTTGACACATTACTTTATAAAAAATATGGTAACTTCTTATAAAAACAATCATTGGGAGAAATTTGATGCTATTTCCTCTATTTCATTGCAGATTGAAAACACCACATCCCAGACATTGTATGGATCTCCAGTAAAAATAACTAATTTATTTGACAGTGAAGATTCTGAAATGTTGAGAGAATTGCAATCCTGATAACAAGTTTTAAATTTATTTTTAAAAAATCAATGTATTTATGTTATTTTTTTTCGAGTGTTTTTGATAATGTAAACCTTAAAAATTTATCAGTGTTGTTGTTTCTGTAGACAGTTATAATTCTTTTATTTGAGAAAGCTATCAACCTACCCTAATGTAGGTTGGTAGATCTCCTATGGTGCCCCATCGAGTCTGAAATAATGCATGTACAGGACCTCTGGGCTGCGTTTCACAGAAAGCTAAGCCAAAGGCCCAGGATATAAAACCAACTTTAGGACCTTTATTTAAAATAAACATTTTTTTTATCTTCAGTCAAATACTGTTTGTAGACTATAAATACATGTAAATTCATTCTCCTGTGAAAAGTTAAGATATACAATGACAGACCCTTTTATTTGCAATGTGTAAATGCCCAGCTATTCAGAAAAAAAAGTATTAACATAGGAGTCATAAGTTGGAACATTTTCTTTGAAATGTAATATTGTCTCAGTTTTGATCTAGATTGATTTCAGACTTAGGACTTTCTATGTAACGCAGCCCTGGTCTTCCTCCACCAGCTTAGATCAGACAGAAAGTCACTATATGGTTATATGACTTAAAACTTCAAACCACTTGCCCCTCACCTCTGTGGGTTCGAATCCCGACAGGAACTTTGGATACTTCATGTGAGGAAGCTATCCAGCTAGCTTACGGAACGTCGGTGGTTCTACTCAGGTACCCGTTCGTGCCTGAAATAATGCACGGAAGGGCACCTGAGGTCTTCCTCCACCAGTAAAGCTGGAACGTCGCGATATGACCTATACTGTATCGATGTGACGTAAAACCCAAAACAAAACAAAAAAATATGACTTAAAAAAAGTTTATTAAGACAAGAATATGGAATCATGAATCAGATTTAAATCGCTAATCTTGGACCATAGAGCTTATCAGCTTTTAAAACAACCATTCATGAGCAAAGTTATTAAATTACAAGCTACTGCTTTTATTTTTTCATTGCAAACAAATTGGGAAAGAAATGTTAGATTTTATGAAGAAAAATTCAAAACACTTTAATTTCCAATATTTTTAATACTTTTTACTATCACAAATAAATATATATATCTTTGCACGATGGTTAGATCTCACATAAAAATGATTAAAAATTCTTTATATAATTTGTTAGTTTTGATTACTATCGTCATCTTTGTATGTCTTAGAGAGTATTATCCTGTCTCGTAGAAGCTTGAACAACGTGTAGTAGTTACAGAAGAGGACCAGAGACATACAGATAATGTGGTTCCACTCGCTACATTGTAACAGGCAGAAAAACTGGTAACCAACCAACATCCACGTCAACACGAGCATCCAGTTTAACACTCGTAACGGTCGATGAAATAAAAACTGAAAACAAAACAGAAAATATTTTAAACATGATATTTTCGATCATTTAGTCTGTCTAAAGTATTATGATTATATGAGTAAATCTAAATTCATCAATATTATATATATACAGTTCATATGAAAGACTTAAAAAAAAAATATCTGTTTACAAACTTTTAGAGCAATTCAATAATTCTATAAGAAAAAAAAACACAATCAGTGAATCTGCACTGGGATTAATTAATAGGATTTAAAATTTAAGTGAAACATAAATGAATGTAAATTTTATTTTGAATCCATATATTCAATATTTTTTACCTGAAAGGGAGAGGTTGATACATGGATCTATGACATAAATATTTTCAGAGAGTTTTGAATGCCTAGTGGTCAAAATGTCTCCCTCTTAACCTAGGGATATTGGGTATGAGCCCTACTGAGTTACAACCATGTTTCATATGACACCTGCACTGGTTAGTTCCAGTAAGTAGTCTTGAAAGCTTCCTTAACAATGAAGCTTAAATAAATATGTTATAATAATATGTAAAACACAACTGAGAAGTGTATGCTAATATTTTAAGCACTACTTACATAAAATCTGCCATGCATACTATTGCCAGGCTCAGCGGTAACGTTTATACCCTCTGCTTTAAACAGCCCACGTACATGTTTGACTAGAGCACCTTGTGGCCACACCTGTAACTCTGACCACCTGAAATACATAATGATGTTGATTAATAAACTTTCAGTGTGTTTGTGGCAACAGATTTAACCAATGCAGACCAAAAACTGCCAACACATGATGATTTTGGTCTGCACCATTCACTATTCCGTTAATATGTATTTTGAAAATTTCCCTTAAAATGATGAATGGCCTTGTCCAGGTTAAAAGATAGCAAAGTCCATTAAGTTGTTTAATATGATAGGAGTTAAAAAGTTATAAGCGTGCTTCTCATTTGAAAATTTAAAGTCATTTTGACTTCCATAATGACTTGCAGTTGTTCAGTCTGAGGACAAAAGACTAAATTAACATTATGTTCATGGACCAAAATAAGCATACATTGAACTAAATAATAATGTAAACTTTACGCGTTGTATGGCACATGAGCATGTCGACCTTCCACTTTCTGCCATCTGCCGAGATGTTGTGCACACCTGTGCATGAGATCCAAGTATTTAGGTGGTAGAAAATGTGCACACAGCATCAGAAATGCGCTCAACCATGTCAGAAAAACATGTTGCCCCACCCACCAGCTGTCGTAAAATAATGTATTCTGAAAAACAAAATGATTCATAATTATTCAAACTACCTGTATAGAATAAATGTTAAATTAATGATGGGGAGGCAATATAGTTATAATATATCTCAAGCTAGCAAACAAAAATATAACATGAATACTTGTAAAATTTTAATGTTCACTGTTATGTACACCTGATTAAAAAACAACAACAAATATATAATTATGTGACATAGCAGAACTTTATATTATGCACAAATTTTGATTACATGTACTTTTATAGAACATAACTAATAAGGGATAAAGAATTATGTTGTACGAAGTGTTTCAAGAATGACTTGTAAGTTTTCATTGTTTTCAATTTGAATGTAGAAAAAAAATTCAAAGAATTTAGAAAGAAAGAACCAGAAAATATTACTAAAACTTAAAATTTACAACAGAATAACAAGAAAATATGAGCCGCGTCACGACAAAACCAACATAATGGGTTTGCGACCAGCATCCGCGCAGTCTGATCAGGATCCATGCTGTTCGCTATCAGTTTCTCTACTTATAATAGGGTTTGTAAGCCAACAGCATGGATCCTGATCAGACTGCGCGGATGCGCAGGCTGGTCTGGATCCATGCTGGTCGCAAACGCATTACGTTGGTTTTGTCGTGATGCGGCTCATATGTATTTTCACAGACTTGATCTTTGTATATTTATGTTTAAGGAAATACAATTTAAACAAGAAATGTAAGATCTGCAATCTTCCTGACATTTAAAACACTACAAAGTTGTCAACCCACCTGACATTTTGGTATTACTGCATACACATTAGAAATATCATATTTATATTTTTGGTAGATATTGTTATAATTATATTCTAAATGAATAAAATAAATAAAAACATTACATCAGTAAAAAGATTGTCTCCCTAATTTTTTTTTAATTAAGCCCCTTTTCCCAGCAAAAAGTGTTTAATTGTATGTAATTAACATATTTTGCTAGTAAAAAGCAATGTTGTTAAAATAAGGGTAAAGGATGATTTTAAGCAAACAGCACACTTTACACTTTAATAGATGAATAAATATTGCTTCTTCTGTGTTAGTATTCTGACATTCTTTGATAGAATTCTGTGTGCAATAATAGAATGAAATTTTACATAATTTTAGGGATTTCCCTTGCTTGTAATTCATACCAAAATGCTATGTGGGTTGAGCACTCTGTAATTATATATGACAAATAAAAGAGAAGAAACTTAGGTAGTACAACATTAAATGAAGAGAACTATAATTACAATTTTTGAAAATCACAAAGAGACATCAATTTTAAGTATGACCATTTACCGACTGCTAACAGAAGGAGACAAATTCACTACTGAATCAATCTGAACATTTTAACTTAGATATTTAATTGAAGATTTCATATATATATGTACAGTGCTAGTATTTTGCTTTAATAAATTACAATGGACGTGTGTAACGATTTTTGCATCAAAAAAATTGTTAAATCTATTCATAATTTTGATTTTTCCTTAAGTTAAAATTCTTAAGTTAGGAAACCAACATAACAGCGGCTGGTTAGACGGCATGGATGTATAGCCTGGCCAGGATCTTTATGTCCTGGTGCCATAGCCATGTTATAATTAACATCTAATATATAGAACAAAGAAATTATACAGTTAAACTTAACATAAACAAAGGCTAAGACGTAACCTTTACACTGTTACTAATTAACAACAATTATTATAACTTGAATCTATTTTAAATAGTGTAACACTCATAAAAAGACATGCCTTCAGAACATAATTTTTTTTTGTCAAAACTACACTTTTTTCTATCATCTTGGACCATTTTTTTAAAATCTAAATGAAAAAATACCAATTATAACATTCATTTTCTTTTCTTCCTTTTTTATATGATCAAATATGTCATACATATTATACAGTTTGTAGGTTATTTTTACAAATTAAAATATTTAACATTTTTTATGCACCGAGGAAAAACAGTGTTTGTTTAACAATTTTGTAAAATTAAAGAATAATTCAATGTATAACTGGAAAAACACTATTTCTTACCAATATTTGCTAAGGTATACATTTTTGACAACAAAAGCTACATAAATCTGAAGGCATGCTCCTTTTAAATAATTTAACAACATGTAAAAGTGAAAAAGCTACAATACAAGAAGACTACAGTTATGTTGATTATATCTTACCCAGCAAGTCTCACAATTATTCTGTATATGCTGCCAGGGTGGGATATATATAATAATATATATTGTATTATTCAAAGGTTTATATCACTTTATATTTTCAGGTTTATAATACTGAATGTTTGTAATGTCGCTTTTCATTGGATAATAGTGACATTTATATAGTTTTATATACACGGCTGCTGTCAATTTAGGTAAAAAATCTCAAATTTTTTCTCTAATAAAGATGCTTGTTGTATTATAAATTCACTATAAATTTTTTGACAGGTTATATGGCCATTTATTACCCTTCCAGATTTTTTCCGCCTTTTTGATTGGATATTGATCACCCGAAAGAAATTGATATAACCAAGCCAGACGGGTAATATACACAATAAATTTCCCCGTTGGGTACCCAACGTTGTAAATAACATGCGTTGAGGTGATGCGCGTACGGTTCGATTTTACGCGGTGTAAATTCCGATTTAAAAGCACTTTTTAACTGTCAAATGATAAATATTTACCAAAGTAGAGTAATGATACATATTACCATCAGTATCGAAAACAAATATGACCTTGTGAAAGCTTGATATTAATTACAAAAAAGTGCGTTCAATAGACTACTCCTTTTCTCTTGTTTACATTTGTTAGGTACGGGAAAAATATGTCATGTATTTATGTGACGTCATGTTGTGACGAAGAGGTACCCTCAAGGGAATCTTATTTCGACGTTTCATTTGAAACAGCAATGATTTTTTAAAAAATCGTCTAAACTCAGCAGGGGAAGGGTAATAACATTATTATTTTGGTTTTGGAGTGATATATGTGGATATATTACCTGCCAAGATAAAATATCACCCTTGCCTAACGGCTCGGGTGATATAAAATCTTAACAGGTAATATATCCACATATATTACTCCAAAACCAAAATAACATATAATATAAACAGTTGTTTGCAATATAACCCAAGCCCAGCAGCTCCGGTTATTTTTCCAAACAACCTTTCATATAGAGCCATATACTAGTAACCTGTCAAAAAATCTTTCTAACTAATAATATAAAGATTTTTTGGCATGTTATATATGGCTGAGAGTAAACATTGTCATTATATACCAAGCAACAAGGAGCAGGTTATATACCATACAACCATTTACACCAGGCCATATAACCTTTTAACGTCAAACATCTTGATAACACATTTATAATACAGCGTAGTTACTTCTCTAGTGGAAAAAATTTTCACTCATAAATTTGTAGTGATTGTATTTTGGAAATATAAAAACCTTAATAATCCAATGAAAATCAACATTACAAATTATGTAATATGCAGTATTATAAATATAGATATATATAGTCAACTTTTATGGTTTCAAGCAAAGGTAATGAGTTATTGTAGGGTCATTTCAGTATATACTGGTAGGTCATGAACAATACTCTTCTCAGACATCTTTGCTTTTAGTCTTCAATGTTTCGGACTACAGACTTGCAAAAAGGACGAAACCAGTATCCACTACAGGGTTCCCACGCTGTCCGGGAAAACGGGAAATGTCCGTGAATTTGAAAACAGGAGCTCCCGGCCTTGAAAAGTCCGGGAATTAGTGTTGATACATAAAAAAGTCCGGGAAGGTACGGGAATTAGTCTGGAAAAGGGGAGGTAAATCAAACAACCAAAATGGCGGTCTTAGCACAGTATATTGACTTCCGCATCTTGAATGTTGATTATTTTTCGATTTACATGTGTTTTGGGAGGCCAAGTTTGACATTTATGAGATTTAACATTTATTTTCTGGTTACTATGGCGGTTTTGTTTGGAAAATGTTATAAGAATTTAGACAGTCACAAATCGACCACAAGTTTGCTTGAATGGCCCGTGCTAAGAAACATGAAAGTTCACAGGTCTGGTTGCTTCCTTGGGCAATTTGTTTAACCTTATTGCTCACAACCATGCTAAAAGCCAAAGGTAAATCAATATAAAATAAACAAAAGTATTACATACATGAACTATTGTCAAGGCAGAGCACAGCCAGTTGGCCACACCATATTTGGGTAGCAAGAAATACCCAAATATTAGCCAAAATATACTAAAAATGAATGTGTTATACTAAAAAAAGTGCTGTTTTAATCATGAAACAATATGCACTTTCATTAAGATGTAATCAAACATACCCAAATATACATTTTTGAACCAAAATATACCCAAATACAGTATACTCCATGAAAACTATTAAATAAAAAAAATAAAACGAATGAACATACATATGAAATTACAACAAAATTATACCCTACAAATTTAAATGTAGACAACAAATCACATATCTTGCAAGTACATTTGTCTATTCATTAATGAACCTAACAGTTAGAAAAGCAAATGTCACTTTTTTTTCTTACAACATCTGAACTGAAAATTTCAATGGAATGAATGAAAGTAATAGTTGGCTAAGTCACATTATTTTGTAAATATCAATTCATTTTCTCATTAAAATCTATATTGTATACAAACCAAAATGAATATTGCTATAATTGTGTGTGTTTGGGTATTTTGTGCTGCCGCCATATTTTGTAGAACCCGTAGCACAGGCTTAAGCAGAGTACAACATTTAAACATGAAAGTTGTGAAATTTTTAATGTAGAAACACCTGCAGGCAGTTTTCATATACCCTTCAGTAAGACATGCTTTTGCCATTCAATGCACCTAAGTGGACTGAGGTCAAATGTGAGGTTACTTATTAAAGTACTATGAATATCTTGTAAAAAAAGTGATCCCTTGGAAGCATTAAAAACACCAAAATTACATGAAAATTGCAGACACCCTGCAACAGTTGCTGTCACAAAGTACATTTCATTATTTATAGACACTGAATGTATTTCTTAGATAGAGTTAGATTTATGTCATGAACTACATGTATTATATTGGTGTTATTAAATGTTGTTTTAAACATTACCATGAAAATATTCATAGGACAAAAAATTGAATAGCGTGAAATTTAATCTTCTAAAAAGTCCTTAAAAAATCAAAAAAGGTCCTTGATAAGTCCTGGAAAAGTCCTTAAATTTTCAAAATATCTAAGAGTGGGAACCCTGCCACTAACAATTAAGTTGTTAAGTTGTATACATCATAAAAACTAGTTTGATGGAGGAAGTGTACAAGAACTCTTACACAACGCCAAATTTAAGAGGCTCACATACATAATTTTTAAACAAAAACACAACTGTTTACACAAAATGCTTGTTAATTTCAGTTTGTAAGCAATGCAACTGTATAAACATTAAAACAAGTAATGAATCTTTTACAAATGAATACCCTTTCACTGAAGATTTAAAACTATCATTTAATATTAAAATATAAAAGATTATTTAAAGATGAATAAGCTTTTTCCTGATAACAAATAATAAGTTTATATTAAGTACACAGTGATCAAAAAAAGTAAATACATTTCACATTCTGAGGACTGAAGTGCAAATGACTAAAATATTTTCACACAAAACATTAAGAAATTCATATAAATCAAAATCTTTATGATAAGACAAAAGACAAAGTATTATCTAGTTCACAGACATTAAGATTAAAAGGAAATCACTGACACTCGAATATAGAGATCTATAATAGTAAACAAGAGCACCGCTAGGCGGAGCATTATATGCCCGAAAGTGGTTTTTTTTTAGTAAAGATGAAGCATTTGTAAGACATGGGACTAAAATAAAGTATTACCTCCTTACAATCCTCCTTTGCAGTTTCAATATTGTGGTCCAAATGGAACTTTTAAGTTATGTCCCAGAAACTGTTTTCAATTCTAAGGTAAAAGTGACCTTGACCTTTGACCTTGTGACCCCAAAATCATGAGGGGTCTTTAACCCAATATGGACAATCATACTATGAAGTTTAAACTATGAAGTTTAAACACAGTAGGCCAAATGATACTTAAGTTATATTCCGAAAACTGTTTTCAGTTTTAAGGTAATAGTGGCCTTGACCTTGTGACCCCAAAATCAATAGGGGTCTTCTACCCAATATGGACAATCATCCTATGAAGTTTGAATATTGTGGGCTAAATGGAACTAAAGTTATGCTAAAGAAACTGTTTTCAATTTCTAAGTAATAGTGACCTTGACCTTTGACCTTGTGACCCCAAAATCAATAGGGGTCTTCTACCCAATATGGACAATAATCCTATGAAGTTTGAACACTGTGGGCCAAATAGAACTTAAGTTATGCTCCGGAAACTGTTTTCAGTTCTAAGGTAATAGTGACCTTGACCTTTGACCTTGTGAACCCAAAATCAATAGGAGTCTTCTTCCCAATATCGTCAATCATCCTATGAAGTTTGAACACTGTGTGCCAAATGGAACTTAAGTTATGCTCCGGAAACTGTTTTCAGTTTTAAGGTCATAGTGACCTTGACCTTTGACCTGTGACCCTAAAATCTAAAGGGGTCTTCTACCAAATATGGACAATCATCCTATGAAGTTTGAACACTGTAGGACAAATGGAACTTAAGTTATGCTCCGGAAACTGTTTTCAGTTTTAAGGTCATAGTGACCTTGACCTTTGACCTTGTGACCCCAAAATCAATAGGGGTCTTCTACAAATATGGACAATCATCCTATGATGTTTGAACACTGTGGGCCAAATGGAACTTAAGTTATGCTCCGGAAACTGTTTTTCAGTTTTAAGGTCATAGTGACCTTGACCTTTGACCTTATGACCCCAAAATCAATAGGGGTCTTCTACCCAATATGGACAATCATCCTATGAAGTTTGAATATTGTGGGCCAAATGGAACTTAAGTTATGCTCCGGAAACCAAATTGCTAACGTTTTCAGTTTTAAGGTCATAGTGACCTTGACCTTTGACCTTATGACCCCAAAATCAATAGAGGTCTTCTACTCAATATGGACAATCATCCTATGAAGTTTGAATATTGTGGGCCAAATGGAACTTAAGTTATGCTCCGGAAACCAAATTGCTAACGGACGGACGGACAGACGGACGGACGGACGGACAGACAGACGGACGGACGCCAGGGGGTATAACATAATATGTCCGAAATTCTTTCGGGCATATAAAAAAGTCAAAGAACCTAATCTGATCCAGTTATAATGGAAATAACAGAGACAAAGTGGGAAAAGTTCAGAGAAAAACTTTCAGAGAGTGAACATGACTTGTGCAGAGAGAAAAACACTTATATATTGAGAGCAGAATAAAACAGAGAGAGAGAGAGAGAGATTGAGGAGAGAGTCCAAACAAGGCACCGAACATTGCCAATCAGGGCTAAGTGAAATCTGTAAGAATAAATAGTGCATACTAGCCAAAATTCACATGGCAAAAGTCAACTCTGTTGTAAGGATATACATATCATAATTTAAAACGTTTGTGGGTGGGAACATTGTATTTTTTTCTCCAATATTGCATAATTACAACTGTAAGGCTATACATCCTTTGTTCCTTGCCAATATTTCTTACTCAACCGATACTAACCAATACTGACAACTATCTTACAGCTTTTTCTGCATTAATCATTTAAGTAATAATGACTATCACAGTGAAATATACAAGGGGAGCGGTGGCCTAGTGGTTAAGGTGTCTGCCTCTCAACCAAGAGATCATGGGTTCGAGCCCTAATTGGGTCACGACTATGTTTCTTCATATGACACCAGTACTGGTTGGTTCCAGGAAGCGGACTCGAAAGTGATTAATATAAGTTGCAAGAACTTGTTTCGCAATTGAGCTTAAATAAATATGTTTAAAAAGTGAAATATGCAGAAGATTTTTCAAGAATAATGAAATAGAAATACATATTGATTTACACTATTACGAAAAAGAAAGAAAATTCAAACACCATCAGCAGACTAGTTATTGATTTCTTGCATTTAAGTGAGCCAGAAACTGTGCTCAGTTGTCGCCTAACAGTCTGCTTCTCATCCATGGGATCATGGGTTTAAACTGCAACAGACTCATAACTATGTTTCCTTATAAGTTATCAGTACTGATCAGTTCCATTTAGCCAACAAGAGGGTGATTCCATGAGGATTAGATGTACTTATGGTAAATAAGTTATGTTTTGACTAAACTGAGACATTGTCATACCTTATTGTATTTCATACTGTGCAAGAATTTCTACAGGTTAAACACAAGTAAACACAGACTTAGACCTCTAATAATAATTCAGAAATAGTTGAAATACAAAACACACTAAAAAAACTGACATAATGACAAATTAGATTCGAGGGTTGGTGCAAAAGGGTTGTAACTCATATTAAATAAAGAAAGAGTTACCACCCTTTTATATCAAGCTGTCATAATGTACAATGTATGTTCTGTTCTGGAAAATTTAGGAAGATTATAATATCATGTTAGTAACCATTTAGGCAAATAAGTTAGTCTACATGGGTTAATATATGTTTATATATTGAAGTTCTACACTAACTAACCCATACATATGTGACATGTACAAGATATAAAGATAATAGAAAGTAACATATATAATAGCGCCACATTCTGTAATATGATTACATGTATATATTACAGAAATTTCAATTTATGAACAAATTATGGCTTGAACATCATTCCCATACATTTAGTTAATACCAATTTATTTTAGTTTGATTGTGTTGGAAGCTATAAGCTTATTGAAACACTCTTGAATTCCCATACATTTGTAATTATGTGACAAAGACAAGTCAGAGAACCATAGAATAATTATTGTTAACATGAGCGGGAGGAAGGACAGCGTGGCCATGCTCTACTATTCTCAGTATTTAGTTGTCAAACATGCTGGAAATTCTGAATTTGGATAGTGGAAGTTACCACTGAAAATGCATGCCAGATTTAAATCTTGATTAGTGACCTGCAATTATGACCTTGAAGACATGTGTAAAGTTTTAACTAAAACCTTTTGTGGTTTTGAGATAAAACTTATCCTAACAAAAAATTTAGAACTTGCATAAAACACCTTTATAGTCAGGAATTGAGATATTGTATGCAATACCTTAACCAAGAATTTAGAATTTTCATATTACAAGGCATTAAAGGGGAATTAATCATGTTCAGGAAAGAGTATAATTTTGTCAGAAAAATCTGTGCCAGAGTTAAGGGTCATAGACAGTGATCCTAATGTCATGTGTGAAGTTAAGAGATCTTAGGTGGTTAAAATAGCATATGAAGCATTATGCCAACACTACTCCATTAAGGTGATGAAATTGAATTATAATAACAGATATTAGATGCAGTTAAACTTATCTTGTATCACTCATGTTAGTTTCATCAATTATAAATCGTAAGGCAGTGGTTATAAAACTAAATAAGATTTTGATTTCTTAGGAAAGCGAAGTCTAGGGTTAAATTCATGAAAAAGTAATCTAGGATTAATAATATTTAAAGAAAGATTACAAAATGTAATCCCAATAAAAAAACATAAAAAGCAAATCCCACAGGGTACTGTACCTTTAACTGACATCAAGTGATAAAAAATAACAGTTCTGTGTTAGTTATTAACACAAAGAAATTTTTGTATTAAGTTCAAAAAGCAAAATACTTCAAAAATAGATGATGATGATAAAAGAAGTAACTTTGTTTCTATAAAATTCTTACCCTTATGAGTAAATAAAATAATTCAACATTTTAATTCATGCAAATTAGTTGTAGCTCATATAGAATAAAGGTGACAATATGACCATTTTGTATAAAACTAAGTAAACTAAGGTGTAAAAGTTTAAACATATTTGAAATATTGATGTTAAAATGTGCTTTAAAATAACTAAAAAAGGAAAGAAAAAAAAACATTAAAAATTTAATGAAATAAAGCAGCTACTGATTTTGTCAGAGCATTTTTTTTATATAAACAAAACTTTGATATAAACTGCACTAATTTTAATTTCCTTTAACAAGAACTCAAATAAAAAAAATGGTATACATATACATGTAAATAATGTATGAAAAAGAATACATACCTGTGCGAAGCATAACGGTACAAATGTCATATAGTAAGCTGTCAGCATGGAATTAAATAGTATCTGTTTAACACGGTTATTAAAATCTATTTTTAGGACTTCCACTTCCTCTCGGATAATATCAGGTGTGAGAACACAGTTGTGGAATAGAACAAAATCTGAAGAGATAAAATCGGAAATTATAATTTTTTTCTAAAAAAATCTGGATTTTCAGAAATTTATTTTTTCTCACAATCCAACTTAAATTATGGTAGGTTGACTAACTCTAAGACAGCCTGTGGCAACTGAATTTACCCATGAGACCAGTAAGGCCCCCACGATTACACGTTTAAACGGATTCGTTTCGATTTTCATTCATAAACGTTTACAATATTGTTTACCGTTTAATTGAAATGACCATATTGTCTTACAAAATTTCTTAATCATTGCCTGTAATCATGGATTTTATCAATTCTAGTGGTTTATTCCAAAGTAAACAAACGTAAAATGGGTGTTTACAACCCTCCACACAGCATTACCGTGCAAAATTGCTCGTGACATGATACATTTTTGGTAAAAAATGGGGCTACAATGCAAAAAATGTGTGCTGACTCAATCGTGATGAGCCTTGCACATTCTTTATTTGTACATGTATTAAAAATAGAAAGAAAGACATCATTTGGCGACTCAAATACATGGTGTGTATAGTACATAGAGGTACCACCGTTTAAACGGTATCGTTTCGGTTCTTAGCAGTCGTGTAAACGTTTACAAAAAATTGTAAACGTGGGAGCCTTAGAGACCAGTACAGGCCAAGATCAGCTTGTTCACTATTCAGTCAGTACTTATTTTGAAATATTTCCTAAAAATGATAAACAGGTTTGTCCAGATTGAAAGATGGACAAGTCCATTTGGTAAGAATTATTGTTCCCTGTTCTTAAAATCTAATAATGTATCAGTAGTTCTGTTGTAATTTATTTATTTTCTTTCAAAATAATGATGATACAAATTAACAAGGAAAACCAGTGCCGTCAGGGGCAAGTCGTTGTTTCCTTGTGCAATTAACTTTACACTCATTGCTCAGTACTGGTTGGTTCCAGGAACAGATTCAAAAATGTGTCTATAGGCTTATAGCTTCCTACACAATCAAACTAAAAATAAATTCTCTATAAACAAGTGCTGTAAGGCAGCCCACAAAGTATCAAGGCAGCATGACCCACCTGTACAGAAATGGGAAAGTTGCAAAATAACCACTGATGCATCAGGGTACCATTTAATGAAATATAAATCATAAAATGAAACCACTTGCACTAAATTTTACCTTTATCAAGATTTGATTTATGTTTTGGTGTAGATTTTTCTGTGACGATGGATGGCCAATTCAATGATCTGACATATAATGGTTTAACTGTTGGTCCAAAAAGGAATATATATGTCACAATACTGAAAACAAATCAAAACAGAATTTATATTCACTTTCCTAATAAACACATACTTTAACACAAAACTGAGAAATGATATTAAACATGCATCATAAGAAGGATAAATTTTTTTAATGTTATCAAAAGTGTATATTGTATAAAAAGCATGAACAAGTCTTTCTAGAAATGCTTTCTATTGTAGGTCTTTATTTTTTTTTCCAAACACAGAATGTACATGTTCATCCAATAATCCATTTAATGTAACTTAAATTATTCCTGTTTGTTGCTTAGCTATAAAATCCTCGTTGGCTGAGTGGTTTAAGTTGCTGACTTTACATTACTTGCCCCCATTCCACCATGAGTTTGAATTGTGTCAAGACATGCGACTCTATCATGTGGGGAAACTATCCAGCTAGCATTTATGTTACACCTGTGGCTCTACTAAGTAGGCTTGTGTCTAAAATGATTCATAATAGCACACAGATCTGAGGTCTCCCTCCACAAGTTAAGCTGGGAAGTTGTTCTTTGACCATTACATTGTTATGTGACTTTAAACTAATCAAACATGAAAATCCCTATTAATGGACATTCAAAATTCAAGTTAAGACAAAATTCATAATTCAATTTTGCCAATGTACCTTGAGACGAGGGTAACAGTAAATTATTGCAACAATAGAAAGTATTTAACTTATTAAATTAGGTATAAAATATCACAAATATACTTACGGACAGCACAGAAAAAGGCAGTATAGAAGAGAATGGTTCCTTAGCACCTGATAGCCAGTGAATAACAGGGAAACAACTGCAAACGTCACAGTGACTATCTTACAAAACTGAATCAACATGTATAGAAATCCTTTACCAGTCTTAGAACCATAAATCTGCAATAGTCATCAATATAAATATCATTCTTATATCATAATACAGAAATCAAGATACCCTTACATTTATCTATAGTTTCATAAAGAGTCAATGAAACGCAGCAAGCTTTATGCCTCAAATTTTTTGTTAAAATTCTTTTTTTAATTTTATAATAAACTGAAGAAAAAAGAAATCAAAGTGATCTAAATTTTAAATACTACTAGATTCTGGTAGATAATCTATGCTATTCTGGTAAATACTAATGCTGTCCATGACTTTTAGATCATTTACACTCTGCATATCTATAAAGAGTGAACATCCCTATAGTGTTAGTTGCTTAAATTAAGCCTTTGAAATACTGGTAGCCTTAAAAATATCAATAAATGGCTGCAAATCTGATGCATGTCAAAATCATTATAATAATCTGTCACCTTACTGCAGTAAAGGAATAAGTCGTTCTAAATTTTATAGGAATAAATCAGTTATTGCACTATGGTGACGATATGTTAATCCTTACCCTGCTTAATCTCTTAAAAAGACTAGTCCAGATTCCATATTTTGAACTGTTTATTATCAATTTATGCCAGTGGGTCAGCCAGCATTATAGAGCCTTGTCATTATACTGGTGACAGAGGCTAATTACTTTCAGTTCCAGCAGATTAAAGTTTACAGGCATTTGAGTGACCTTTAAGTGTGTATAAATAAAATTCACATGTGATGACAATTTACCTCTTGCACGAAACACCAGATAAGTCTTCTACTCATAAGCACACAAAGAAAACTTGCTAGGTATGGGTCAATCAAGTAAAAATTCTGTAAAATACAAGTACATGTATCAAAAATTAAGTCTTATACAGTCTGCGAAACTAGCAGTTGTCCTACTGTCCGAGACAACCCTTTTTTGGACCCAGACAACTAATTTTTTGAAGTTTACTTGCCCGATGGACAAGTTAAATTGGCTAAAAGTATTCATTAAAATGTCAACGAATAGTGATAAAATGCAAGATATCAAATAAAATTAGTTTGCTTATATTTATGACTGTTTCTTACTGAAGATAAGTTTGCAGATTTGATCAATAATTGCTGGGAGATGTTCTGATGAAAATATTTGGACAACCAGTTTTTACTTCGGACAACCAAATTTTCTTGAATTGGTTGCCCGAATGACAAAAATTTTGAAACCCTAATTTCACAGACTGTTTATGACACGATGTACATAATGTATTCTTTGTTTTTTTTGTTGTTTTTTCTTTGCTAGATACAGAAAAACTTAATCGAGCTTGGACAAGTTAAGATATTTAGTAATTTACAGCATTAATGAGTTAATAGATGGACAATTTAATTAACACAATTATGTACATTTGAAAAGTGTTGAAATCATAATTATTTACTGGTGTCTTATGAACTAAATACTAAGGCTGAACACTACCAGAGATTTGATATATTATTAAGTATAAACCCAAAATAATGCAATACATAAAATGAAAACAATGCAATTGTGCAGAACATCTTGATTTTTTCTGTCAATAAATGTGAATTATGTTTTTGACATTAATAAAATGACAACTTACAAGAGCATAGTTAGCATGTGAGTGGGGAAGCCACCAGACAGTTTTGTAAAGATTAATATACTGTAGACACATCACAATGAATCCAAAAATGTACAGCATCACTTCAAATGACACATTTGTATCTCCAGGAATCTCTGGTATGTGGGCATGCTTAGGTAGCACTGCCATGGTTGCTAGGGGTACAATATTGTTATCACGATCATCAGAGTGCCTGAAAATTTATAATATCATTATTTTACTTAACAAAGTTATATCATTATCTTATATACATTTATAATATCCATATTTTTATATAACTTTGTTAGCCAAATCTTGAATATTTATTTTACCAACCAGACAAATATAACCCTGCCTTCCATCCAATAGGATATAGAAATAAAAAGAGTCAAGATTTAACATTTTATAATGTTTGTCTCGTCAGTACAAATTTTGTATTTGGCACACAAAAATGTCATACATGCAGTGCAAGGTCATTATTAATAAGCAGTATAAATTTATGTCACTGCACCTGTGTGGTGGAACATTTACCAAAAGTTTGATAACCCAAGTCAAAGCAGACTATTTCCCAGGGATAAGGAGTACGGAATTTACGAAAAGACTTTTGTAATAGACATTGTTCAATATGCAATGCTCTTTTTCTACAAAAAAAACAAAACTAAACATTTAAGATAAAAGGCAGAATGTCAATTAACTAATTATAAGAATGATAGCCCTGATATTTTTTTGTTTCTATATTTTACCTGTTTGCTGTTAATGAGACAGAAAATATTGCATATTGAACAATGCCTATTACACAAGTCTTTTTGTAAATTCTGTACTCCTTTAGAAACATGGGAAAAAGACTGGTCCATGGAGTTCAACCCTGATAAATGTGAAGTTCTAAGGATAACAAGAAAAAAAACCATGTTATATTTCCTTATACCTTCCATAACATCCAACTAAACTCTACTCAAGAAGCAAAATACTTAAGAGTCACTATTAGTCAAGACCTTTCATGGACCAAACATATAAACAATATTACATCTAAAGCAAATAACTCCCTCAGATTCATTAGAAGAAATGTTAAAACTCCAAATAAAAAGATAAAGGAAACTGCATTATTATAAGACCTATGTTAGACTTCAGGTTGAATATTGCTCCATAGTTTTGCATCCTTGGCAGAAGTACTTAATTTATAAGATAGAGCAAGTCCAAAGATCAACTGCTAGATATAACTGGTTATTTCTGCGGGTGCAAATTCTTGCGTTTTGGGACTGAAAATGGGTATATTAATTTTTGCAAATTTATTTTCTGCGTTTTTCATCAAAAACGTTTATGAAATTTAATTTCTGCTGGCATATTTCCTTTGGTGAATATACAGCGTATTTCCCCCTCTTATTTTATGATTTATTGTTATGTTTATCATTTCAAGATTCGAAATTGCACCTGTTTAAATCACCGGTTAATTTCTTAACAATTGTGTTACAATCCTTCATTTCACGACGTGACAAGCTTTCTGATAATGGACCATTTGGATCCGGCAATCCTTTTTGTACCAGATATTTTAGCAGAGCCATACTGGAAATAATAATCAATACAGCCTACAAACACAAACTTGCTAAACTAATTACACGATAAACTATATGTAAAATCTTTTGTGTTAAATTGACTACACCGAGAATGTGTTACAAACATCTCACATTTCTTTCTCGATTTTTACTAGAGTGAGAGGCCTTGAACAGTGACAAAACATCAGTGCTGTAACCTACTTGTACAAAATCCAAAACAACATTGTTTTTGTTGAACACCAACACCTTACTCAAACAAGAAATCTGAACTACACGATACATACTTGAGGACACAATATCAGGGCATATATGGCACAAAACACAATTCTTTTTCACCCCACATGACAAGGGATACAGGGATACAAGGGGTGTCGCACTACGTCAAAATAAAAGAGGCAAATAGTTATGAAAGCAAGAACTAAATTGAATTCAGTGTTAAATTGTTAATACTTATAAAGATTAAATTATTCTCAAAAAGAATTGAAGAATAAAAACAAACTCTACAACGTGGTAATAATATATAATTTCCTACAGGCAATTAAGTTATCAACAGGCAGTGTTTACTTCCTGTTTAATGTTAACTAATTTAAAAATAAATATCCGAATATATCAACCGGCTTCCTATCAGGTTTACTACCTACCCTGAATTGGGACTCTTGTGAGCACCACCTTGGTAAGCAGGGTTGGTCTGTATACGAGATAGTATTCTCCTTCCTGGTGGCATGATACTTTAGATCATGACAATTGAAATGTAAATAAAATTGAGAAAATTTGTAAGCGTATTTATGTTAATTAGTGTTTACTTCGACACCGTTTCCGCCGTGTAATTAACTGTATCGTGATAATTACAACTTACAGCTGGGAAAGAAATAATTAATCATGGGATCAAATGGCGATTTATTTCATGATATTGTAATGTCTGAAGAAATGTAAGAGTCGATAAGAAGTATTTTCTATGTAGCAATACCTGTGCCATGTCAACTTATTTTTATTACATTTAAATGTTTCTAAATTCTTGAAATGATTTTCACTACAGTATATCAGACCATTTCACATATTGTATAGTTCTGGCTTCCAAAACTTTATAAGCCGCTCTTTAACATTTTTGTTTTTCATCTGATGCGGCATTTCACGTCATGTCATAGTATATAAACGGGTACGCTGAAGACCTTAAGCTACATATTGTACATCAATATTGAATTTATGGCATAAGTAATAGATAAGACACAAATTTTTTAAAAATGTTTTCATCAAAACATTGGATTTTCTCATTGTACATAATTTGATGAATTAATAATATAGTGTCATATTTTTGTTCGAGTCAGATCATAAGGGTCTTTTAGTCGAAATATAGAGTCACAGTACCTGTGCTCGACCAGCCCAGTGCTCAACCAATACTTCTATTTGTGTACGATTTATGCATAAAAGTGGAAAAAAAACCCGGGAATTTGTTTGTGCCTTTTGTACCTGACCTGTAACCTCTACACCATGTACAAGTACTCCAACTTTTGGTAGAAGATTGGCCATTTTGCAGACAATATTTAACAGTACAAAAATACATTTCTATAATAAAAGTAGCAGTAAAAACTATTTAAACACTGAAATAATGGTAATTTAGGGCAAATGTGGACAATACTTTGTTAAATTGCCTTTACTCTTATGATTCCAATTGATTTCAATAGGAAAGGTTCTGAAAAAAATTATCAAAACCCTGCTCTCCATAAAAGTCCGGGGCTATGAACATGTAAACAGATATGGCGGCTGTAAGGAAACAAATCGAGAACACACCACTCAAAGCGTAGACCATTTGTACATTACACCAAGTATCACACTAAAATATGTTTACAGAGTGATTTTAGTAAAAAAAATATGAGAATAAGTAATTTAAAACGCCCCAGTATATGTTAATTCCAAAACTCTTATAAACACTTTATTTGTCAATGTATAGCATTTTCTTCGTATCATATTTACTACTCTGATATTTACATCTAAGACACTAAAACATAAATTTTTCAAAATATTTTTGTAATAGAATTGTTGAACATAAAAAATTCATAATCTGTTTTTTAAATAAAAGTTCTGATAGAGTAAAACCACCTGGTCGAGCACCTGGTTTTTGGTTGCCTGAAAAATATAGTGGTTTTATAACCCCTATAATACAACTCTGTGGTAAATTGTATCCTGATCTGTGTAATTTAAAAAGCTTTAGCTTATTGTGAGTTTAAAAAAGGGCCAGCCTTTGTAACCAAAAATAAGTTTCCCAGCAAACTTTTTGTTCTGAAAGAGTTTTTACGTGATTTTGTGAAAATCTGGTTGAGCACTGGTACGGTGACTCTATATATTGAAGAATTTGACGTGCCAAAGCTAAATTCTTAGATATTTATATTTTGGTGCAGAATCTCGCTTTTAAGTGAGATATTGTCCAGACACGCAATATCTCGTTGTGCAGTACAATTATTTGGATTTTCTTTTCTGTTAGGACAGTTGTGAGTCAGACTACATGGCTTTTATCTTTTTAATACTAATAGTACTAGTTACCTCTCATGTTTCCTCACTATGTACATTGCCTAAGAAGCATCAGATCAGTGACAGATGTTGAGGCCTTCAATACTGCGTAGAAGTAGTAACTGAACAGGCATTTAGTCTAAGTAAGGAATTATTTTTTATCACATTGTTAATGTAGTCCTGAGAATTCTTAGTGGATTGAGTAGCTTGGGAGTCTTGGTAATTTATCACTTTTCTAGCATGTCACAAATGCATGGCCAGTATATAGTTCTTAAAGGACTATTTTCAATTGCCACAGAAGTAGAAGTTGATTTATTGCATCATTTACCTGCCAAAGTCTTGTTTATTCTGTCAATGCTTTTCAGAATTTTTATAATCAAAACAACATGCCTGAGACACATGCTTGTTCAACACTGCTGTTAAAGGTTGCCCTATATATTATACAATCAGTAAAGGGAGATATGTGAAAAAATAAAAGTTATCTAGAGTTATTGTTCTTTAAAACACTACACTTTTTCCCTGGCCTTTATCACTACATAAGAAATTTTATTTCAATCAGGTATCACATGCAGTTTAAGGGTAATACTCAAGTATATGTATTGAATTATCACTAAGGGAAATAATAATAAAAAAAGCAAAGTAAGTTAGAGTAATGATTCATAGACCCTGCACTGACACTAAGTTGTCTATCACTGTGTGAAGTACTATTCATAATGTACATGTAGGAATTATACTAAAAATAAACATTATTAAGTCTTAATAAATGGAGATAATTCTGTAACTTTTGTAATGCAGAGTTACATTTTTTTGAAAATTCACCTTCTCTGACTGTGTTAAGTTACAATGAGATATTATTGATAGTTTTGGAGTTATACCTCGACAAGCATTATTTAACATTTTTGAAAAGAATAATTAAAAAAAAAATAAAGACAGGTTAACGTATTGGTTTTGAAAACTCTCTCCTGAGTAATTCCTGTTATTAAGAAACCACAAAGGGAGTTAATTAAAAATAAAACTAAAGTAATGTTAGGTTAAGGTTTTTTGACATTTCCCTTTGTCCTCCAATCTTGTTCTGTTATGACCCTGGTGATGTTTCAAATGAAGAAATATCAATGACAGTTTACAAGTTAAGCATTCTTTAAAATTAAATGGGAAAGATAATATAAAAAGTTAAAGGCACGGTAAGTTATGGTTTTTGAAAATCTTGATTTTTCTGAAAGTCTTATCAACTGTTAAAGGGGTTTTATCCAAATTCCCTTCAAATACTTTTCAATTATTCTTGATATGAACTTTCTTTTTTTGTACCTTTAAAAAAAAAAACAGAGGGCTCCGGGGCATTTACAGTACACTGTTTAATGGTATAAATTATTTCCCCCCTGATTTTATGTTAACTATTAATTTTTAAACAGAAGCAAAATTATGGATTTTTGAACAAGGCGTAAAAGTGTTTGGGAGAAAGCCCAGGGGAAACAGAGGGAAACAGACTTGCTGGGAAAAAGGAGCTGCAATTGGTCAGAGGTATATGCCCAAAATACTAAGGTGTTTGCTGTTTATCTTTAAAACATTCATTTTAGCTTTTATAAATAAATGGTATTTGACAAATTTTATTCTGTTTTAATTTTTTGTTTTATTGAGGAACCCTGATTACATATTAAATTTTAAGATATTTAAATAAAAAATAACATGTATTAAGTTATACATGCAATTTTTTGGAATCTTTAAGTAAATATTGACAAACGAATATTTTTGTTTTTAAAACTAACTTTTTGAAAGTGGTATACAAATAAAATAGGTACTGATCCGCTTGCTCCCCTTTGTGCTTGCGGCCTCAACATAGCGGACATGATAGGGACTAATAAAATCATCCCTCAACAAATAAGCTGTTATATTATTTAGTTAATGTTGTTTTCAAAAACAGATTGGTTTCCCTATGGGGGATTATGCAAGGTCACTGCTAGAAAGAAATTGCAAAGTAAACAAGATGCTTAAAACCAAGGGAGGTAAATTATTTCATTAAGTTCAAATATCTTTATATGAAATTTTAATAACTTCTAAATTTGTTTTCAAACTTAAAGTGTACTGATTCTTATAAGAACATCTCAGGGAATGGACTTTTTAAGGAAAATAGAAAAGTGAAAAAATTACCTTTTTTCGAGATGTACAATAAGTCAGAAATTTTTTTAAAATTTTGGTATTTGGACTTTTTCTTTTTTTTGCAGGTATAAAAATTCCCTAATTTGCTTGATAATGAAACATTTTGCAATGTTTGAATAAACCAAAATATTTTGATTAAATATTGTTCTTTTCAAGCCTTCAGTTACTTTACCATCAAATTTCTAGCAGAAATGGTTCAATTATTTCTGCTTAGTGGGTGTGGGTGGCGTATTTTTTAAGGGGTTTTTGCCCTCTCAATATGCGGGGATTCATAGGTTTTAAGCCCTACTTTTGGGGAACATGGACTTATGTTTTCTCATCATATTTGAAGCCTGAAAATAAATAATGTTGGGAGTAATTAATTTTTATGCTTAAGTTCCAGGTATGACTTGTCAAGGGGGTTTGAGTTGGACCGTTATAATTGCTTTGTCAGCTTAAAATAATTATCAAAAGGCCCAAACCCCCTGTATCATTACAGCCAATCCAAAGCCTGCCACTCTCAATGTAGAATCAGCAGAGACTAAATTACTGTTAGCTACTCAGTTTTTAGCAAATTTTAAAAAACTGGGAAGCCCGTAACTTTTAGCCCTGTTAGCCACAAACTTGAATCTACCCGTTTTCAACCATGTGGCAGACCCAGGATCAGGCAGACATTTCCTTTTCCCCTTTCCTGATCATGGTCTGTACTGTTTTGCTTAAATTGAGGACATTTTTTGAAAATGTTACCTTAAAAATGAAGGAAATGGGTTTTGTTCGGATTGTAAAAATGGACAATTCCATTTAAGATTTATTCAGCAACGGAAAGGGTTAAACTACCATTTTGTACCTAAATGAACAGGATATAAACCCAAAAGGGTAAAATTTTTTCTCCTTTTCTTTCAAAGAATCTAATAAGTTTATAAGACAGCCATTGATGCTTAATGCAAGTTAATATTAAATACAGGCAAGGAAAAAGTTTCTTTTAAAAGAATTTCTTTATACATCTTTTCATTTTCTTCAACTTTTTTTTTTGGTAAAAAAAATATTTACCCAGTAAATATTTAATTCAAAAGATCCCTAAATAATACAGATGTTCACGTTTCAGAGTTGTTAAAACATTAGAGAGAATTTATTAAAGCAAGCCTGAAGAAATTTCCCTCTATCAGATCCTCTACATCCAGAACTGCAGAGTAAACTTGAAGAATTACGTACAAAATTTAAACAGGTATTCAAGTTTTAAAATTGATCGCCTTCAGATGAGTATATGAAATTTGTAAACAATTTAAACTTTATTAAAAAATGTTTAAGGTTAGTCCCAAGAGTTCCTGTAATTATTCTGTAACATAAAAACAAATTGTCAATATAATATATTCCCAGTTAACTTGCACAATTTCACAATTTTTATCATATGGATTTACCAAATTAAAAAGAAAAAAAATCCATTAAATTCTTCACTCATTTTGTCCTTGATCAATAGCTGGGGCACCAAGTCTATCAGAACTGTTTGTATTCCAAGAATGTCTGTCAATATATTCTGTGCACAGAGCTTTTACTGATCCATATAGTCTGTCTGATCCATAACACACTTTTGCCTTCTGTCTCTTTCAAGTAAATCCATTGCCACTGGAAATTAATGTCGATCTTCATTCTGGGAAACCACCTGTAAAACTCTGTTCCACTTTGAATATACATGGTTTAGTAGTCTCTAATCACAGATATTAATATAAAACTCTATTCCACTTGTTTAGTGGTCTTTTATCACATGTATTAATATTGTTTTGAATTGCACATACTGTCTACTATATTTAAGGTGTGCTCACAATTGGGTATCAAACAGGAAGCTCCAAGCAGATCAGAGAATAAAGGAATATCTTTCTGAGAAGTCTCCATAGTAAAGTTAACAGTGAGGAATTTAGCTTCAGGCCAAGTTAAAGGTTTCAAATATGATTTGTTTTTTCCCTTAATATCAAAACCAGTCGTGAGAACAGACACAGAGCATCAGGCCCCATGCTCACTAAGAAAAGATCAAGGATCAAATTATCCCCAATATTATTTTTCATGATTATATGCCCAAATTTTTTTGGAATATATTATGTACCTGGTCATCTGTCTGTATGTCTGTCTGTTAGCAGTTTTCCTGTCTTGTCTGTATCTTTTGAACAAGTGGAAGAAAATTTAAACTACTCGGCAGAAATATATGTGCCAGGACTGATCAAGTGGTTGGAATTTTTTTTTATCTATTTGTGGATTTTTTGATATTTACCTTCACTTTTGGAATTTACATGTATGTTGGTAATGGGAAGGATAAATTGAAAATTGTATTTTTGTTTCCAGGATGCCATTTGCTTGCCTTGAGGGAGGAGGGGTGTAACAATTGAAGATAAATGAAATGGGACATTTTGGGACCAAAATGGCTTCTTGAACAGAGAAATTATGTGACATTTATATATTTATCTTATTGAAAACCAATGAATAAAATTATCTTAATCAAAACAGTTACTGGTTTGTTTTGTTTTTAGAAGTAATTTTAATTGTCTAATTCAGCTTTTTGTCATACTGAGATTACATGGAAAACAGGCAACATCATTTAGAAGAATATGGGACGATTTCGATATAAAATGATGTTAACTGATGGACCATGACATTCCAGCTATACTGGTGGAAGAAGCCCCTTGACACTTTATTTCAGTCATGAGCAGCCACCCAAGTAGAACCACCAACCTTCCTTAAGTTAGCTGGATAGCTTCTTCACATAAAAGAATCCTCAAGTTGATGGGATTCGAACCCACAGCAATAAGGGATAAATGATTTGAATTTGGCAACTTTAACCACTGCCACAGAGAGTTGTTCACTACATATAAGTAATTTGTGATGGGAATTGTCATAAAACCATATTTTCTACAGATAGATGAAATGACGAAAGAAATTTTGGAGGCCTTGTGCATACATTTCTTATATTTGTTGTACATATGGAAAAAAACAAAAACAATTATTTTTCCAAATATGATTAAATCATAAAATTGTATCAATATTTTACAACTTGAATGTAAAAAAAAAAGAAGGAACAAGCCAGCTCAAGAGAATAACAGTTTATTTTTATCATTAGATCAATGTACAATAGTCAACAATTCACAGCACATTTGGATGATGATGACTCATGTGTATAAACAATATGACATGAGCCGCGCCATGACAAAACCAACATAATGGGTTTGCGACCAGCATGAATGTCAGAACCAAGCCTGGGGGGGGGGGGGGGGGGGGGGGGGGGGGGGGGGGGGGGGGGGGGGGGGGGGGAGGGTGGGGGGGGGGGGGGGCGGGGGGGGGGGGGGGGGGAGGGGGGGGGGAGGGAGGGGGGGGGTGGGGGGGGGGGGGGCGGGGGGGGGGGGGGGGAGGGGGGGGGGTGGGGAGGGGGGGGGGCATGCCTCGCAGTCTGATCAGGATTTCATGCTGTTCGAGTCCTTACAAACCCTATAACAAGTAGAGAAACTGATAGCGAACAGCATGGATCCTGATCAGACTGCGTTGATGCGCAGGCTGGTCTGGATCCATGCTGGTCGCAAACCCATTATGTTGGTTTTGTCATGACTCGGCTCACATGTGTTTAAACATTCTTCTTCAAAAAGCTTTACATCCCCTATCTGTAAATAAGAGAGATAGTAAAGTTCTTTAACAAGCAAAAGAGTGTTCTGATTATAATAATATGAAGATATCTTTACAAATCATTACAGATTTATATATATACATACATTTAAACACATTTCTCTGCTTAGCACAATGGTGATGTAATTTCATTTAATACAAATGATACAGTACAGAATGTTAAGATACCATCTCGTTACTCATCTTAAAAACATGGTACAGTAAAAACTGTTATCTTGCATTCCATTCCATTCAAAATTTTCAGCACTTTTTAATATATTTTGCACTTTTTCTTTGTTATTAAGCACTCAAAGATATTTTTTTTTCATACCATGTCTTGAAATTATCAAAGCACAAGCTGATTAGATTTCTGATTCAATTTAGCATTAGCAACTTTACAGAATAGTATCTAAATGTTGTAAGCTAATAAAAATCATATTTAATTTTAAACCAAACTGAAAGCAGAAAATTCTTTCTAGAAGGAAATTCTTCATACACATAAAATTATTAGGTCTTGGTATAAATATGTTTCATAAGTTTTTGTTTTATTTTTTTTTTTTAAATTAAAAAAAATTGTAGGATTTATAGTCGCACTAAACACTGTAAAGGATCATATGGCGACTTTTCAGCCATACTGGTGGAGGAATACCTTCAAGGCGTGCCACTCTGAACATTATTTCCTTGATGCACAAGCCGGCAACTTGGGTAGAACCACCAAATGTTCGTGAATCACACCAAAAAAGGGATACTAAATTGACTGTCTACTGTCATTTATGATGTTAAAAAAGTATAAATATCAAAAAATCATACAAAGATTCTATTTTTCCTTATTTCCTCATACTGAAAAACAAGAAATATAGCCACTTTACTTACAATACAAATACATCTAAATGCCCTTCATAATCATACAACAATAAAATCCCGAGATAAATAATTATACTTTTTATTAACTGAATAAAAAAACACCCTCTTTCGGTTTAATTTACCTTTATATAAAAATAGTACAAAATACTGAATATTTTGGCAAAATTTTAAACATCCCTATTTTATGCTCATTTACATAAGCTAGTAAGTAAAATTATTTTTTTTTTAAACCAATGACACTTTCCTATTATTCCAGGTATCAATGTAATAACCACAAATTAATAAGCCTTTCAGAATCTGTATTAGAAAAACAGGAGACAGTACTGTTTTTTACATGATTAAATTGGAACAAAGCACAAAAAAACTCTCTGTACTGTGTACTGTTGAATTGTTCCTAAATCAAAGCAGCGTGCCAAGTCTGTTTTAGTTTCCTAAATTAAAGCAGGGCACCAAATCTGTTTCAGACATCACATACCATAGTAACAAATACATTCAAGAACTGCTCATGTAAATTTTATTATGCGTTTTAGAAAACATCAAATATAACTTCATTTTATGAAGCTCAATATCTAATAACTGAGCCATAGTGGCTGTCTGTAAATTTAAGTATGATGTCATAAGCTTATCTTGGAATAGGAACACAATTTATCAATATGGTGAAAAAATGATGTATTAATAAAGTTGAAAAATTCAACATTAATCAAATAATTCAAAGAGACAAGTATGTATTTTAATTAAGTTTTGGCAGTGTTATCAACTCACACCTAGACAACCAATTAACTTAACCAGCATCAATATTCACTGTCACAAGTTTTATATTGTCTGTATATTATCCTATTCGCGCTTGCTGCAACGAATTAAGCCAGCAACCATTGTAGACCAAGATGAGCCAGCACTCCATGCCATCTGATCATGGTCTGCACTATTTTCTACCCAGTCAGTTATTTGAAAATTTCCTTTAAAAGATGATGGTTTTGTCCACAATTGAAAAAGTCCATTTAAAGATACATTTAGCTTGGTTTTATGTAAACTCTCAAGCCACATAAATCTCCAAGAATCGATATGTTGGGTGCATTAATTTTTTTTCTAAATTTGTTTAAGTTTGAAACCCACAGCAACACAAGGGTATACTGTTGAACAGTTTTGGAGGAATAACCCAGAAAGTCAATATTCAGGGTTAGAACAAATTACGGCAAACTACCTGGATAAATGTCCGTGAGAAAATATTTGATGTTGAGTAGAACTGAGTTCCTGTCTACTCTTTTTGCCAACAGTTTATAAAGGAGTCAACTATCAATTTAAATCAAGACTAAGTTTAAATCATTATTAATTCATCATTTTAGGTCCATTTAATCTCTGTCTTCCTTTTAAAATTGGTGTTAATTCTCGCAGCACTATGTTATATGTAATACCTTATAGTAGCTGTGAAAGATATAAATAAAGTACCTAGCATTAAGCAAAATAAACCCTGCAATTCAAAATGTTTCATGTTATAAAGCTTAGCAATTTCAACCAAAAAAATTCTGATAAGATATAAACAATGGCTGATAATATATTCACCAATTCCTATCCAAATTATTTGTAACAATGTTTGGGTTAACGCATTTGCAACAGTGTTTTGAATGTTCCGATTTTACAATGCAGTGTATGTTAATATGCAAATAAGATTATATAAATGCAATTTTGTTTTCTAGAAACTGCTTGCCGCTAAAGATAGAAAAACACATGTATAAAATGATTTTTTCGTAAATATTCAATGTGTAAATACCATCGGCAAAAAAGTATAACGGTCACAGTGGCTTTGTTCTACATTACAATTTTATTCAGATTGTTCAAATAAAACACTCATTTGAGGATTCATTACTTTATTAAGTCTTTGACCTGCAGGAGCGAACTTGTACGAGTGGATGTATGCCTTTACCAGCCGCAATATAGAGCCAAGCCAGCCTGAGCCTGAAGGTCCAGGCCGTCTTGACGCAAGACGCCTTCTGTTGACTAAAACCAACTTCGCTAACTTTCATCTTAATTTTCTTGGGAAAATGCGTAAATGTTTTTAAAATCTTATGAGGTCCACACCAATTTAATCATTTTTATATTGAACTTAATTTTATAACCAATAAACACTGGAAACAGAAGAAATGTGGTAACCTATGTTGACATATATGGATACATTTTGATTACAAAACATAATAAAGATTATTTAGGTAGACAAAGTTGAAATGGCCAAGTCTATTCAGGAACTGGTTTGTTGAATGCGGGTTTTATGTCTAGAAACTGTTTGGAATGTAAATAGAATAAATTTTTTTTATAACAGCAAGAATTTATAGGTAATTTACCAACATTCAAACTTATGATACAAAAAAAGTTTCTTAGCATTGTATTTTTCATATTTTACATTTTACTAGTCAATAATCAATATCCAACTGCGCTGCAAGTGTGATAGTTTTTCTAAATACCAATAAGAAAACACCTGATATAATTATTCATTATTTACTTATAAGAGAATAGTGTTTTTCAGCATGTACTGAACAATTGAAAAACAAACAATAATATTTAACTTTAAATAATCACAAACGCCACTGGAGTTAAAAGCAGAGAATAAGTAATAATAAATCTGAATCAAACGCATCCTAGTTATCCTTCCATTTTAGCTTACCAGCATCTCATAATAATTGGTCTGACTCCATTCAGTTTTTTTTTCAGCTCAAAAAGAGCCTGATAGCACATTAATTGTTCATCATTTAAATCTGTACAACAGTTAATCTCTTATATGGAACTTCACTTCTCATCCTGCAATTCATATCCAAATACCTTCATTTGAAGTTAATGTCCCTACAAGGGCATTGTTAAATGAATCTAAATATATAACCATGAAATGGACTTTGGAAGGATTCACCATCCGATGACATTTCGAGAATTGACCAGAACAATTCGGCAGTTTCCACGATTTCTGCTCGCATAATCCACCAGAATAAGGTCAA